AGGTGGTCATTACGAGTTTAACATTTTGAAGATTTTTTTCTAGACAGAAAAGGAACTAATGTTAATACCAACTTACCTCTTCATCGTTACAATGATAATAGAAATATGATAAAACGCTATCACTCTGTATATAATATAATTCGATCAAATAATTTTACGTATTCCTAGATACTAAGTGATGCAGATATCAGCAATAAATTTATTTGAAGAAATTTACATTTTCTTTTTCTTTTAAATCTTCCTGTTTTAGATGGAGGAGATATTATTCAAATAATTGTAATGCCTCAATGAGGAGCGCAAAAAAACCAATTGAGAAGCGCAAAAAGCAATTGAGGAGCGCAAAAAAGCAATTCAAAATATTCTCATTCATTTTCATTTCGAAAAACGAATCTTTCCGACATTGATTTAGAAAAGAGATCAAGAAAAAAACTATAGAAAAGGAACGAGTTTTCAATGATAAATTTTGTAGGAAAAAAATTCTAAAATGAATGATTGGGATGGATCGGTGGAATATATCCATTTCTCACTCATTTCAACAAAAAGAGAAAGAAAGAAAATTATTCAATTTGCTATACAACAACGATACATTCAAAAGATGAAAATGGAAATATCTTTTCTTACAAAAATATATGTTATAGTCTTATTTCAGGCTATTTTCCCTTATTTATTTCTTTTTCTTTCTTCCTTAGATATGATGAGAAATGCCGTAAAAGTTTCCTATTCATTAATTCTAATTGATGAAAGAAGTAGCTTTGAATTTTCTTTTGTATTAAAATGTATAGGCCTAAATATATATATACATCTATATCGTCAAAATGTACAAGCCTAAAATATGTCTATTCCAAAAAAAAAACGAATCATATCTAAAGCTAACATATAAACATCAACATTTCCTACAATGAAGGAAATTTTCAGCTTAATTTTGAGTATGTGATAGTAGTACCTTTCGTATATCTCTCGTGAAGGGCAGAAACCGGAATAATGCCAATTATCTCTATCACTCTTTATTTTTCATAATTCCATAATTACTTACACAATTTCTATGATTGACATGAAAAAATATACTTTATGTATTATATATCGTTAAAAACAACAATTGTTTGGGTGGTAGGAAGCAGAGAGATAACACATATCGGAATATCAGAAATTTAAACTTATCTTTAAATTTTTTCTAAAAAAAATTCACACGATAATTATAATTATAATTATGCAAAAATAATAACAAACAAAATTTTTTTTTTTTAGAAACATTATAAACAATAAATAAGCAAATAAATAAACAAATAAACGAAAATTAGTAATCAATACTTATAATAGATAAATATTTCGTATTAAAAAACATCATTCAATATACTACTGTTGACGTATTTCTACTACGAACAGTTAAAGAAAACTTTGGATAAGAGATAAGAATGAAATTTCAACAAAATGTTTTGCCACCCTCTTTGATCTTTTCAACAACAACAAGATTAGCAGTATGAGATGATAGCGGAAAAAATCAAAGAATATATATATTTTTTAAATATAATAATTTATTCTTATTTATAAATCTGATAAGTAAGACAAAACTTTTTCAATTTCATTTTGATGGGAATATTTATTGGAATAGATAAATGCCCTTTGACACTTACATAAAAAATTCGTTTAGAAATTATTTTGGATGTAAAAACTTTCAATGGAAAAATTTAACTTTTCTAATTTTCTTTTTCAATTTAAAAATAATTAATTCAAGATTTTCTATTTGCAAAATTATATAATAAATTTATAATTGCTACTCATACTAGTGTAGAAATGATTGATTGACTCGGATTTTATCATATCATAAAATATGAGATAGTTAAAATCGATCAAATTAACCCTTTTACAGTATGGATGATGATGTATCATTGATTTTTCAATAACATAAAAAGCATAGACCAAACAACCCGTCCTACTACTTCATTTATGACATTAGCTGGCATGAACGATTAATCTCTGTGTTATCTGTCTCTCTCTCTCTCTCTCTCTTTCCTTTTCTCTCGCTCTCTCTGCGCATTTTCATTCAATGGGACATGAAAATTTAACACTATTCCACTCTAACATGAAAGGTTCCATTTTATCTCAGTATCGCATAGATAATGATGATAGGAATAGATGACTAATTAAATATGACAGGAGAAAGAATAGTACAACGTTTTGATGGAGTTGAAGTGAAGAAATTAGGAAATGAATTGAATAACTTTAAATGGTAAATAATCGATTAAAAAGTGATAATTCATATAAATAATTCAAGAAATGAATGGATTAAATAATTGAATATAATTAAGCAATTAAGTAATAAAAATAATTAACTTTCCTTGTTTATGATATATTTGTCATAAAATATTAATTATTATAATAATGAAAAATACATATAGCAATAACAATTACAATAATAATTAATCGATTGATAAATATTAGATAATTTTTAAAAGAATGAATGATAAAAATATTATGCATAAATAATATTGGTAATGATTGAATAAAACAAAAAGAATTATTATGAATTATTAAGATGACCAAAAATACGATACTCTAAACGATTATTATATTATTACTATTATTTAGAGAAATAAAGAAAATTTGATACAAAATTGTTTTGAATTGATATAATAATATAATTTGTGGTATTGAAAATTGAAGAATGAAAGAAATAAGAAATAGTATAAAAGAAGTGTTGTTGTTGTTGTTGTTAAATGTGTAAATTTTATATATTCATTAATAAGAAATATAATTTATTTCCTTCTTCCTCTATTATTATCCCAAATATCACAAATAACAATGAACAATTTATATTGATAATTGAAATGTGAGGAAAAATAAATTCATAAATGTTCAATGTTACACCTATCTCAGATAAGATTTTCAGGTATAAATATCTTCTTGTTATTCACAAATGAATAATATAGTTAATTCAATTATTGACAACAATAAAAATAGAAACTGACTCTTATCGAAGTTATCATATACTCTTATCAAGGTTATCATATGATATGATGGCTTAATCTTATCAAAGTTATCATAATAAAATAGTACAATATGATAGATCAGTCTTAACAAAACTATTATATAAAATAGCATAATTTGATGAATTGATGTGTGGCGATTTAATAGTAGAATTTTCATAAATTTCTTTGAAATTAATCATTGTCACTTACAATATTTCATAAACTATCATAACAAATATGATATGTGAATTATTTGCAATGAAATGGTAGAATATACAATTTGCATTAGATGAAGTAATTTTTGCAACGATTATCATCATCATCATCATCATCATCATCACCATCATCATCATCATCATCATCATCATCATCATCATCATCATCATCATCATCATCATTATCATCTTAACTGCGCCTCTGTTGTTTCTTGTTTGCTAATTTCACATTTTAAATTGAAAATTATGAAGGATTGTCGAATTTAATAAAACTTTATAATTTTATTCTATTCTTTTACTCATAAAGAAAAACAACAGTATAAAAACTAAAAAACTTATCAATAAAATATCATCTAAATTTTCGAACACTAATTAAAGGAACAAAATCAATTGACATAAAAATTTCAAAATTTATTTAAAAGAAAATAAATGATTGATAATTGAAAGAGAGAGAGAGAGAAAAGACAGGATTGGATATTTAATAAGCTTTCGGACATATTTGTTGAACGAACTGAAAAGAGTAACGACAAATATAGCAGTAACTGAGTGTTGCGATACAGATATCGATTTCTTTTATTTCAGGGCCATATAATGGGGCTAGCCTTGTGGCCATACTATATATAGTTAGGCTGTATGATTGCCTCTTCATCTTTACCACTCTTCAATGTCATCTCCTTTTACCGAGATAGATTCTGAATTTTCTCAATTTCCTCCAATTAGATTTATGTATGCGAACGGCGTATTGCATCTAAAAGCTTTCAAACATATAATGAAATGCAAAAAGAAAAGTTTTTTCAATATCAGATGACATCTTTCCTTCAACATTGAGTATTTCAGAGGAACAGAAAGAAAATACTAAATTAGTGGAAAGATGGCACAAATCATAAATTCTCTTCCCAAACTTCTCCATAAAAGATGACTAATGGATAACATGTACCCTAATGATTGGTACTCATTCTCGAAGCCTTTTGAACGAAAGGTAACAATTATAATCCTTTGACCTCCTCACCATCCTTTGGACCTAATTATCATCTTTGTTCGAATTCAATTATCAGCCTTTCAATTCATAAAATTTTCATTTCATCTTAATAGCAGACAAGGATAGCTAATCTAATAAACTTTTTGTCTTATTTATAATAATGAAAAATCTGAGTCACCAGAAGTTGGCTTTCCAAAATGCAATTAATCACTGTATTTTTCACGTAGTTTGACATATTCATGTCTACTGCAACTTAATTTTATTGATAATCTTATCACATTTCATGTAGTAAAATCGTTGTATCCAACCACTTCCGCACACAAATATAATAAACAATATTTTGATAGTACAACATGTATATAATCTACCAAACACCTTTATATCAAACGACATAGCTCCCATTCAAGATAACAGTCCATAACCTTTGTTACTTTCAAGCTGTAAACTTCAGCTTAATCTGAGTCCTAGCTAACGGCCATTACTTTTCAGTGACAAAGCAGTCTTTCGAGTTGAGTACTTAGTAATAAACACGAGAAAAGAACTTACATTAGTTTACAGTAATTTGATGTAAATCAAAAAGTGATCAGTTGCATGATGATCATTATCTACTACGGAAAAACCGAAAAAATTTCCAAGAAAAATTTAAATATAGAAATGCGTACCATATTGATGCATATGCAACATGTAAAAAATTAGATTATTATGATAGAAGAGATAGGGAAATCGTGACAAAAAATACCAATGAACCGCTGTGCACAAATTAATTACACTGTATTCGCTTTTTTTTACACATAAAATCACAGGCAGTTAATTCATTATTACTTAAATAACAAATTGTATCTATTTTGAATAATTTTCAATGAGCATAGCGATTCCGTGTCCACCTGCAGCGCATGCAGCTACAATTCCCAGATGTTCTGCAACAAAAAACTAAAGAATTTATGTACTGCATTGAATAATAATAAAACTGAAATTAAACTTTAGTCAGTTTAATTCATCAGTTTCACGCAATGAATTGTCTTCTTTCGGTTAATTTTTAATCAGTATAGTTAAGAACATTCACTTCACGTGAACGTGATATGAAAAATATCATTTCCTATAATTTCTTTTTCAATAGCTCAGCTGTTTAGTACAAAGTTTCATTGCGAAGCGATGTAACTAAACATCAGATCCAACCTTACAAAGAATTTCTGGAAGAGATTCATGAGCAACTATTTCATTCATGTTTTTGACCAAGTTTTGGGTGTTTAATTTTTATCCTTTGTAATTTATTTAAGCAGAATTTTAATAAAAGAAAAAGGAATCATACTTTGTTCATGTTGCAGTCGATTTGATGCGTGAGATACCAATCGTACTCCTGTTGCACCAAATGGATGTCCAAGTGATAGACTACCACCCCAGGTATTCAATTTCTCCTCCGGTATACGTCCATATTTTGCTGGTCTTTTCAACATTTCCTAAACAATTCTTTCAATAAAATTTTAAAGGTGAAAATAGTGATCCAAACGATGTTAATAAAAAAAATTCAGAAATTAAATGTGAGAAAAATAATACCTTACAAAAATAATCCGAATCCATGGCATTCAAGTTGGCTAGAACTTGTCCAGCAAAAGCTTCATGAATTTCGAAAACATCTACATCTTTTAAAGTTAGGCCAACCTGAATTCAGATTATGAAATTATAAAAAAAGATGACATCTCAGTCAGAAATTACAAAAGTTTAAAGACATAAAATTTAAATCTGCACCTTATCCATCAGTTTTGGGATTGCATAGGCAGGTGAGAGAAGAAGTTGATCGGTTGGGTCCTGTGCTACGTACTGGAAATCTCTCAGATAAGCTTTTGGCTTATAACCTTTCTTCAAAGCGTAATCTTCCGTCATTATCAGCGAAGCGGATGCGCCATCTGTGAGGAATGAAGAATTGCCTACAAATATACAACGAAATTATCGTATATCATTGCAACATCTATATTAATTATTTCATCCGTTATTGAACTGCACTTTGTTTCAGCTACCCAAATAAAATGAACGATAAGATCTATGGCAAAAAAGGAGCATAGTCCAAATATTAATAGTCCAAATATATCAAATATTAAAATTACAGAATTTATCTGCTGCTCGATTCTACATCTCCCTATGTTGGACAGTTTTTCGAAACCAATGGTAAACTTACCAGGAGTAACTGTTCCATGAGGTTTTACGAAAGCTGGCTTCAAATATGATAATTTTTCCATCGATGAAACACGGATACCATTATCTTTTCGAACAATCATCGGCTTGCTACCAGATACAAAAACTGGTACCACATCAGAGAGAAGATTCTCTTTCACGGCACGATCAGCAAGCACATGTGAACGAAGAGCAAATTCATCCTGTTCACTGAAATTAGGGATCAAAAGTAAATATCTCAAAAGCTTAATTATTTTGACATGCTTATCCTAAAACTGGTTATCAAGTCGATTCAACTGAGCATCAAATTCTTATTTCAAGTAACCATCTTATAGTTCCTACCAATTATTTGATGCACAGTACTTCGCCATTGAAACTTGAATTTATCTGTCAACTTCATCTATTTATTTAAATTATCTAGACTTAAATACAATTATTAACCGCCTAGAAACGCCAAATGCGGCTGCTAGTCGATCACCGCTATGTCCCATTGTTTCACCAGTTGTAAATTCAGCAACAGTTGGTAATTCAGGTGAGAAAAAATTTACTGCTATATTTTTTATCGCTGTCAACTTATCAGGAAGCTTCTTTGCTTTATCCAGAGAAAGCATTGCTGAGCGTGCCTGAAAAGCAAGTAAGATTTTATTTAAAAGAGATTTTCTTGAGATAAGGCTAAAAAATTGCTTCAAAAATGACTCATATCCTGAATTAAACATGGAAATGCTTGAGTAGAAAAAGTATGAGTAACAAAAACAAGTGAAGAAAGCGCACTTTCCGATTATATCGGATTGGGACATCAGAGAGTAATTCAACACCACCAGCAATACCTGCATTACAACAACCTGTTGCAAGCATGTTCATAACATAAGTTATTGCGACATTTGACGAAATGCAAGCCAGTGTAACCGTATGCGCTGGTACCTAAATTTATTCAAAAAATCAAATCTACTCAAGCTAAAGTAAAAATAGTAAAGGCATAGCAAAAGTGTTTAAACAACTTTATTTTTTGGGGAAGGAAAGGACAAGGAAAAGCAGTAAACAGTCGAAAGTGAGGAAAAACTGGAGGTTTTTTGGAATTTTGACAACTTTCCCATATTTTCTAGAACCATGTATTAAGCTTCACGAATTATACCTTTTTAGAAAATCCAGCCGTTAACGCAGCTTCCCGTGCCACATTACTAGTCTTATGTTCCTGTATCACAGTACCACAAACAATATGTCCCACCTCGTCCACATTCACTTTCGTTCGATCAACTAATGCTGTAGTCGAAATTCAAAATACTTTCAAATTGAAGAATTCTTTTGCCTAATGACATACATAATTGTCTTTTTCTTACCGCGATATGAATTGATTGAAATGGTTAGGCAGTTCAGATTCAATATCATCGAACTGATATATTTTTCTCCAGAGTAAAAAAGTAACATATATTTGTTGAATATATGTGGAACTTTTTTGAAATCTATTTTAAATTCTTATCAAATCTCCAACAACAACCACAAGCTAAATATTTCCCAGAACGCTAAAAGGTTTCTCACCTGATTGCAAAACTAACAGAAGAAAATGATACCTGAAAGAGCAGCTCGTTGCAAATCCACAGCCATCATATTTTTGAAAATTGTCCTCGATTGTAGAAATGGCGTACGTACCGCATCAACAAGGACAATATTCGGCTGACCAGGTTTGGAAAACGCTTTCCCAGTTGTAGCAAATGTTTTTGAGCTCGAGAAACAACATGATATCGTATAAAGAGCTCTTATCCGACACACATCACCAGAATTTATGGATAACAAACAGCGTGACATTTTGTTTGAATTCTGCAACAATATAAGGAGCAACATGCAATAGAGAAAGACCTAAAGAATTTTCAATAAGCAAAATTAAAGTAACTACGCGTTATCTAACTTCCTCATCTTTCCCCAACAAAATGCATCGACTCATTCAAATACTAGAAGATGCCAATTTATATCAAAAAGCCAAAATGAAGAAATTATTTCTTATTATTACTATTCGATCAACAGGAAATCAAATTTTAAATAAATTTATCTACAACACAAGACAGGATGCAGAAAAAATTCTGAACGTTGGAATAACCCACAATGTCACTGAAGTTGAGTTTCCAGATGTTCCTCACTTCAGGAATTTCTGAAACTGAATAACCTAATCAGATCTCCCATATAGAACTCTAATTAAATAATGTTTGAATAAACTAAAGTCACCAGCAGTTAGGAAATGTGTAAACTAACGTTAAAACTACTATGCGACAAACTTTGGACTTTGTACCGTACAAAAAATTTCGGACCGAACGTCTCTGAGCACATGAAACAACTCAATATAATTTTGAATTAAGTGAAGTTTACTCAATTCTGCTGCTAAACTTGATCGTCCTAAAATTTGAAGAATCGATTTTATCTGAATTTAAGAGGAATTGTTTACCATACAAAACTGATCTCAACTTCAGAAACAAATATTGTATAAGCATAATCTCTTCGAAAATTAAAAATCATCTGAAAATATGTAAACCGCTTCAACTTTTTTTATTAAATGCATTAAATGCACTTCACCGACAGCTCTGTTAATTTCCAACAAATTCCGAAGTTTCTAATCTGTTGCTTTTAGTTATGTTTTTATTTAAATCCAATTGCCTACACATCCTTTTCACGAATTCCTTTAATTTTTGAATGCAAAACACACTATAAATATTCCCAAGATAACTGACTGTTGTACTTCATATGCAATGGAAAGCTTATAACTAAAAATACCAGATACATCCCTTCGATATGGATAGCATACTTCTAAATTTTAGGGATACGAAGTGAAAATCCTACAATGAAAATTTATGATTACTCATTATAAAATACTTTTCCGGGAATCGATTAATCAAATAAGACAGTGGTTTACCAAGCACTATGATTAAGACAATCATGAGATCAATATACAAGATTTATCAATATTCAGATTCGGCTTCATTCCATAGTTTTATTACTGACCAGACCAAAAATTTCATTAGGCGCTCGTTTTTATGTCGAAGCAATAGACAAACAGTTCTATTAGTAACAAACAAATTTTGAAAGAATGCAGACATTTGCAGCCTTTTTCTAAGCCATTTCAACATCCGTTGGATTGGTATCATGTGTTTTTATGCGCTGATCCAAAACCCTCCTGAAAAAAGTGACACAATAAGTAAAAATACCTAAAATTTATTTAAATTTAAGGATTTTCTCCAAATTCGGAGTGAGGCCTTAAAAATTTGCAGATCATCTCAGGTGAAATTCCGAATAAATCAACAAACAACATGAAAATTTTATGATACATCAGAAATTAAAATGATTGGAAGTATAAGAGTGCTTTTGACATTTGACGCTTTTATTAAAGTAAATATACTGCACTACAAAGCAAACTCATAAATATATATGCCATTTGCTAAAGTACTGAAAAACACGTGAACAATTCGAGAACCTTCCGCAGTCTTCTTGAGAGCCACGTTTCGCACGCTTCCTCTTAAGCGTTTCCAATGCTTTTTGTTGAGCTTGCTTTTCGTAAGAGTCTCCCTCTAGATCAGCTTTCGTCACCAGGAATTTTTCGAATGGCTGCAAAAATTATTCAAGCAAATTGGTATGAAAATGAATAAGGATAAAAACAGCTTATGTAAATCTTCGAAATTTGAAAACTTTTCCAAAAACGAACTCCAATCATAAGAGTTGGGGTTCTATTACACGATGATAAGAAGTTGGCGCGCGTCCCCAAAAAATGCATAAGTTGATGAAGTCCTTGCTCCAACACCTAAAGATATCGTAATATTAAGAACTAAAGAAGATATGATAAAACTTAAGGTTAGTATTAGCTATGAAATAATGTTTCTCATGGAAGATGAGAAACACTAATCTGATTCGAAATAGCAAAAGCATGAATAGCATATAGATTAAATAAAATAATTCAAGCACGACGAGCTTTTCTAGAAAGACGCTGATGGCCAAAAGATCTGCGAAACTTATGTTCCTCATTAACTACAGCTTATGAAACAAAAATTGAAGCCGAATGAATTTAGCCAATAATCAAACTTTTTCAAAAACGGAAGTAAAGGAAGTAATTTACACCAAATTTACTTCTGATACAAGCTTCGAAAAATAAAGCGTTTGCTTATACCGGAAACAGTAGATTATGTGGTTTAAATGGATAAAATAAACAAAAGCAACAAATAAGGAAAAAAACAATTAAAAAAGGTAGAGGCAAAACAAGAGTGAACTTTTGGTCCCACTTGAAAATTACTCGTTGAGCATTAGGATAGAAAATGGTTTTTTGATATTTCCATTCAAAAAATACAATCAGCATATCAAAACTCTGGATATACTGTTTAGAATAGTGAAGACCTCTAATACCTTATTATGCGGATCCACACTAAGCGCCTTATGGAAATAATGAACAGCTCGATCGATGTCTCCAGCTCGACCTGCTGCTATTGCTAGTCCGGCATTTGGACCTAGTTTCCTTGGACACATTAGAAGTGCTTTCCTTAATTAAAAGTTTATATTGCGCAATTATATCCGAGTATATGAGTAGGATAACAGCTCGGTTTCACTAACCATAATTATGCTACTAATAGCTGGTGAGATAATAATCTTGGAAAAATATGGCACACAATTCTAATACAAGAAGTAAATTCGGAAATGAAAAATTTCTGACAATAGAATTGGAAAATATAGACTGACTCAAAGCTCTGCAATAAATTCAATGAGATTCTCCGCAAAATCCTCGATAAAATTCCGAAATATAAATGCAACACTTCCAGATAACTTACTGATGAAACTTGATAGCCTCCTCGTAAGACCCGAGTTTGCACTTTACATGCCCCAGATTATTTACAAGCGGTTCCCAAAATTCGCTCAACGGCCGATTTAGCAAATCACATACGTGAGCAGATTCATCCGTCTCGTTGTATGCTAATAGCAGAGCCTTAGTGAAAAATGTTTCAGCATCTAGAAAATGTTTCAGACACTTAGAGTTATAAGATACAACTCCTTCATTTATCACACAGACAGGATTTATTATTTCTTTCACTATTGTAAGTTTATTTATTCGAACTTAACGAAACAACTTAAGAACTTAACGAAACTTAAGCACAATATATTCTTGCCTACATAAAACTTTCAACATATATATTATATATTCCACTATGCTTCGAGACACCATCAGTCATTTCACACTCCCAACACAATGAGGAGTTCAGGTCAAAATTTCGCAAAGTAGTTTGTATAATGAATCATACAAGAAACTCTAACGCCTTACTTCCTACTCTAGATCTGTTACTGTATGGCAATATGAAATATGAGCAAATATTTGACTTAGAACAAGAAACTGGAACAAGTTTCTAGAGAACCAGAATAAGAAACTGCTTGAACATCAAAACTAAATTATTTTTGTTTGCACAAAGACAGAGAAACAGAACAAAGAATACTAAATTAATTATGTCCTATAACTAAAAATTAAGTTGTTCCAAAATTTCAAAAAAAAACATTTTTCAAAAATTCAGTTCTTTTAAAACTATGGAGGTCAAAAACATACTTTTCCATTCTTTTTTCATGTAGCAAATGCAACCTTGCTCATGTAACACAAGCGCGTTATCACCAGCTATTTCAGCTGCATCCTTTAAAAAATCTTGTGCCAACTTTGTATTGTTTGCATAAGCATACTCCAGTCCTATGTATAGCAATGGTTCGAAGCTACCTTCCAGCACCCGCGATGCCTGCAACATGCACATTTTATGAAATTCAGTTATTTACTTCAACTATTTATTAATTTTTAGCATGGGACTTAATGGAAGATTAAAGAAAACGGTTTCTTACATTCACACGAGAAGCTAAAAAGTCAAGTGCAACAAAACATTTACATGCACAAATTTTATTTAATAATTTATATTTACGTGAAAAAAGTGATATGAAACAATAAAAATTAATAAAAATAAAAAATTGGAATGCAAAGTAATTTATGGCCAATCCCACTAATTATATATACTTAATTATATATTCTTTGAATACTCCGGAATCCACTTCAAATAACTTACTCTCAAATAGCAATTCATTGCTTGTTCATGCTCTGATTCTGCAGTAAGCGCATGTCCAAATGCTAACCAACCTTCACCGAATGTACAGTTCATCGATGTGCATTTATCTAAAAATCTAAAAAATTTAAAAAACTGGTCCTATAGGGACTTCAGTTCTTCAACATTCCTTTCTCAACTAGTTATCTTTTTATCTGCCATTGTAAACAGAAATAAGAGCAAGTTTTTTTTTCCTGGCGTTCTACAAGATTTAGCATCACATATACAAAAATCTAAACTGAGTCTAACATCTAGAAAGAATATCAGCTTAAAAAACTTATAAAATTAACACTCTTCCGCTATTTCTCTTTAAAATCTAACTGCTAACAAGAGAATTTATAGAATTTAGACAAAATCTAATAGAATTCAAAACCTACTTAAAAAGTTTTTTGCTGCTCCCAAATGTCCAATGGAATAGTAATAACAACCAACGGTATACCAACTAACTTCGTTATCTGGTTGACTATCGACCAATTGATGTGCTAATATAAAGAGGCTTTCGAATTTTTGCAATTGTACCAAGGTTGCGATATGAATTAACAAACAATCCTAAAGCTAGAAATCATATGGAGAGTAATGAACAAATAATGCATCTTAGTAAAGTAAGAGCCGAAAAAAATTTGAAAAGCACTGGTTTCAGAGCAATATGCGACATAACATATATATGTTGATAAATAATCCAACCGTAGAAAAGTAGAAATAACAAACAAAAATGAGAAAGAAATGAAAAAATGAACAAACGGTATAAAATTAAGTTAGAGTTACTGGTATGTTCATCACTTATTATTAGCTCTATATTAATCTGGAGTACTTCATTACATTACTAAGAACAAGCATACTCAATTTCTTAGACAAATTTTTTTCTTAAACAAAAAATTATGTAACCTGAAACATGCCAGCCTCGCTCAAAATTTCATTCGTGATATTATAAGCTCCGGTGAGATCTCCAGTTTGGTACAAATGTGCGGCTCGTGCAGTAAGAATTGATAAATCCATTCTTAAAGCATCATTCACTGAAGTATCCGAATTCAGCTGCAAAAACAAACGAATTTAGTTATAATTAAATGGAAAAAAAGTAAAATCAAACAATAAGCTTCTCAGCAGCAAGATTATTTTTCTAAACTTGCATTTTTACTTCCTTGCGAAAAATAATAGTTCCGAAGAGCCACAATCATACTGCTTTTATTTCCAGATCTGAAAAAACGTTGATAAGCGAGCTTCCAAAATTTTTTAGCTACCAAGGTTCTCAAAAATAATGGATGTGCAGAATAAATAAACCAAAATAAAGAAATAAAAAAAACATCAAAAAAGCAGCAACTAAATCAATAACCTTTCAATCAACTCTTCGAAGCGCTGTTTTGAATAAAGTCGATATTTTTGAATAAGCTCAAATGCTTCTATACAAGAATCATCTTTACAAACGGCTCCTTGTAAACAAGAGAATGCTGCGCGACGGTTTTGAGTCATCAAATAAGCTTTTCCTAACAAAAGCAGTAGTCCTGCTTCGATCTGAATACTGATAGTAAGAAAGAATTTGAAGACAAACATTTTATTGTGCTTATTGATTCTACAAAATTTCAAATAAAAATGAAACCTTTTATCAAGCGACAGTGTCAATCTCAAAAATTATTACCTTCAAATCTTCTGACATTTTATCAAGCGAAGCTATTTCTTCAGAACTTGGAATGAAAGACTTTGGTTTGGAGAGTTGAACCATATGGGGCATAATGGAGAATACAAGATCATGGCACCGATCCTTCAAAAATGCGGAATTATTAAGTGTACATTCAAAACTCCTGTAGTGGGAAACCAACATTTCTTCATTCAAGGGAACCAATTCCGCTTTTGCAGATACGCCACAAAAATGTGAACATTTAAAGAGATAGGAAATATGAAAATAACTTACTCCAGTACCCAATTTTAACTTGAGTATATCGATAAATAATTTCTTTCTGTAAAGTGCATTTACGTAAAAATAAGCGAAGAATATGTGCTTCATAATAAGTTCATGACGGTCACAGTAAGCCATCAAACGTGTCCATTCTCCAGCAGCTGCCAAAACCTTCAAAAAAAAAATATTAAAATTATTGTGGTACTTAAATAAAAAAAATATTTATTTAACTTAGCATAGCACGCCCAACTACCAGCACGGAGTTCCATGGCTTGTTGAAAACCGTAACCATAATTTCTATTATAATTCAAAGTTTCCTCACAAATTTCAAACTCAAACAATTTGCATATGATCTTAGCGATATCTATTTAAGATGCCCACTTATTTATCATAAATAATATATAAAATTTTAGATATATGAGGCTTTAATGCTAAAAAAAATCATAAAATTCGGAAAAAGTTGAGGTAAGCAAAATAAAACTTAATTTAAATCAAATACTTTTCACAAACCCTGATAAACCGAGCCATATCAACAAGTAATGGTTGGGATCCATTCCTTCGACATAATGCTAGTCGTTTGTCCGCCCAAAACAATGCCGTTTTATACTGCGTGCTTGCTAAGTATCTCTGAATTAGACTATCAATTTCGCTAAATTCGCAATTTCCATTGTTTGTTAAAAGTGCTCGAGAAGAAGTATCCACTGGTGTTGATAACGCAGATCTTCAGAAAAAGAAAAGAACATCAAGAAAAAAAAATGAATTACCAGTTAAATTATATTAATCAGCGATGCTACTTTCCAGTGAAGTGTTCGATGGATAAGCAGAATCTTGGCATAAATGAGTTTTATTATAGAAAAACAGCCATTAATTAATAGATAAAGTAATATGTAGTGACATATAATATGTGTGGGATGTACTCAACTTGCCAGCACATAGCTTTTTATTCCATATAATTGTTTGTCAACCCTACACAAAACTTGACGGTTTTTCACTACGTAGCAACAGCGGACATAATATTCCGATTGTTAAGTAGGCACGTAATTATCCATTACTTTTTATTGCAATGAATTAATGTCGCGTGAAATGATAAATATGCTCAAGAATAAAAAATGCACGGAAGTGAAAAGACAATCTTACGTGCTGCTTGTAGGCAAAGACGTGGGTGTTTGTACGAGATCTTTAATGGTTGATTCACGCGGCAGTGTTGGTCGTTGTTTTACCGTACTTCTACCCACCATTTCATCCAAGTGCTATAATGAGCAGTGGTTAAAATGATATCCACTTGAAGCATAAAATGAGTTTAAAGGAGAAAAACTAAAAATTTATGAGATCTCAAACTTTCAAAATTTCAAAACTGCCAGATGGAAATTCCTTATTAAAAACATTGCAAGTATCATCCAAATCCTCCATCCTCAGATCCTCCAGAAAACTATTCACGGCACTCCGTCATATTTTAAAGCCGAATAAAGTCTCCGAACATTTGTTACGACGAAAAAATGAGTCCAAAGTTCTGCTGTGGGAAGATGATTTGGTTTGTGCTACTTCGCAGTGCAAGCAGTTCGGTTTGACTCTTAAATAAAAGCATCACATAACTGTAAAGGCGGGTAAAGGACCAATGTTTCATTTGCAAACAGGAACTGCATTTGCGCAAATGACGATCAGTAGTAAATGTTCCCCGTTTATGTATTATCAGTTCTGTTTCCCTAGTAGCATCGGGCATTTGTAAATAGTTCTACGGCGCTACTCTCTCTATCCTTGTATTTGTGCCACTGGAGAGAAGTGACCGATTTTATCCTTCGAACTAATAACGGCAAATAAAGAAAACAAATAAACAGCAACAAACCGGGTAAATTTTCCAAAGTACAGCGCTTGAAATATATAAAGATAATGACATATAAACTTCAATACTTCAACTTGCCATAAAAAAATTAACGAATAAAATGAGAAACAACGTTGCAAATCACAGTATATAGAATATCTCGCCCTTCAAGGAAAACAAGCTGATGGAGAACAAACATTCACTCTGAAATGTTTCTATCTCCACTTCCACATTTATATTCAACAATGTAAATCTCTAATTTTTTTTAGTGATCAGCATGGCTCTTATGGTTTTTTAAAAAATACAATATCTCGCGAATAAAATAATAAAATGTAGAAAAATTTAAACCAGAAATAATAACACCAAAAATTATATCAGTTCCTATTTAGTAAAAAGTAAAATTCAATATACTGTGTAAACAAGCAATTTTCATAACATCTGCTCAAAAAGTGGCCATAAAAAGTATCTCACATAAATGTCTTCGAAACAATGAAAAGAAAATCATATCAAAGTCTATCTTTACTTATTTCTGAAATTGGAAATAAGTAGAAGTGGGTCCGATCCATCACTTCTAGTAAGATTCAGAACAATCACAGTAAATATTATTAAGAAAAATTTGATTGCAGTGTAAAAATTACGAAGGTGACATCACTGACGATTATTGTTGCAATTCATAAGCTGATGTTAGGTCCATGGGAAAACTCGGAAGAATTTCCAAATCACTCGCAATTTCCAATTTATCTTCAAAACTTAATGGTAGATTTTCGGTTTCAGTACCTTCATAACCGTAGATTAATTTGAAAACATATTTGGACATTACTGTTGCAGCAAGTCTGAAAAAAGTTTGATTTGGGCATTCGGGTATAGAAGTTTGGAAAAAGATCTGAAAGCTTAACCAGTTCTAACATTTAATAAAACATATTAACCTTTGCATAGGATTCGTTACAGGCATTGCGACCAACCGCAACTCAAGTGAGTGCGCCCATTCGATGATTTCTTTCACCTTCAACAATTAATGGCAATGAAAAAAAGTACCAAAAATAATTTGTCAACGTAATTTCAATTAAATATTATTTGAATTCACAACTGAAAATATGAACTGAAAATCAGATGTTTATCAGTGATTAGCACAAACCTCTTCATCATCTTCAATTTCTTCCAGCCTTTTTTTAACATGATAAAAATCAGTGAAAATTTGTCCTCCTGGACCCCATGCTGGTATTTGATCACTCACCTCCTCAAATAAATCACCAAGCTGACCCAGACATTCGTAATCATCTAAAAAATAATTCGGTGAATGAATTTAATTCATTAATCTCATAAATATCTGCACACAGTCTCCTGGTATAATCTATTATACCTGCTTTAATGGCCAATATTTGTGATTTTAATATTTTAAAGCTTTCTTATTTTCAGAGCTAGTCCAGCCTAAATAATATAAGAAATTGAATATGAATCATTTTAAAAATAGGATATTGAAAAAACCTGATATAATGATGTTAGGTGCAACTTTTTCAAAGAAAATTGAATGGGCTTCATCAAGCATGCCTCCTTGCAAAGCATATAAACACATTTTAGCTTCATCGTCTTCCAATTTTGCCCGCATGTACCTGAATAATAACTTGAGAGAATAACACAAAGATTTAGAAATTAAGAACCGACATCTTCTTCAAGGCCCTATGTTATAGCAACAAAAAAGTAGTTAGAAAATCAAAAAACTTACCTCGACCGAGCAATAATACAATCTGGTAAACGCGATATTGTTGATAGTTTGGCATAAGTTTCCTCATCAGCTTTGTCCGCAATTCGATCACCAAGACCGATCAAAGCATCATTTCGACTAATATTTTATATCAGGATTATAATTAACAAAACCGAATGCACAGAACTGTGCTAAATATATCTCTTCCAACTTATCACTTGTTATCAATCATGAATCTATTAACGAATGTTTGATATCGAGGATGGATTCTATAGATAAAACATACCTTTGCAAGTCAGAAATATGCATCAGTACAATTGCAGCAAGATAGTATAACTCCATTTGACAAAGCTGTTCAGCATATCGAATATGGAGTGCATGTTCAGCAGATTCTGAACAGCGTTCAAATCCCAGAATTCGTAAGATAAACCATAAATGCCAGCTGAAACACTTTTTTACAGAAGAAAAAAAAGAATTTTTCAAAAGTGAAGAAAGGAAAAAACACGAATTTTTCAAAAGCCCATGGGTTTAGTCAACTTCGGTTAACTAATCAAATAATAAGTCTAAGCTAAATATATCTCTCCCAACTTATTACGAACAAGTTCTTGTCTCTAACTATTATTCTATCGGTCTATCCTGTTGCGTTCGATAATTTCTAATTTTCCCCATCTCACCCTCTTTTTTCTAATACGTCAGTTTTCTATTTTATTTGATCTTCTTTAAAAAGGTTTGAGGCCAAGTTAATTCCGCAACACAAATGTAGAACAAAGCGAATTCAGTTTATTTTCGAAATTTAAAAAGCAGCACCAACCATAAATGATAATCCATGGGATCTACAGCAGTGCAGCCAGGTTCTAAAACAGCTTCCATAGATTGGGTGGCATCACAAGCCAACTGAATAAGTTTATAAAAGACGTTGCATTTCAACGTATGCTCTGCCTCCCGCGCCTTCAAATCATTTTCGAAAGCGTGCAGCGCATATTTTAATGAAGCATCGAATGGGTCAAAATATGAAACGAATGTGCATAACGCCTGTAATAAATGAAACAACGAAATGGACAAAATAAAGCAAAGGAAATAAATAATAGAAAAAATAGTCTGTAATTCAAGAACTGGATTAACCAAGCTTTAGACAATGAAATTTACTGTTACTTATTTCTATACCCTGAAATCGGTGAAAAAAATAAAATATGAATAACCAAATTACAGGGAGTTTAAAAACGGTCTACTAACTTGTAATCCATCCAAGCCATCATTCACAAAGATCTTTCTCCCATTTATTTCAGCTTGCATTTCCCCTGCCATCAAAAGATAAATTTTCAGCAGATTCTCGTCAATAAATTTACACTCCTTTGTTTCCTTCCAATGCTCAATCTGAAATAAGGAATAATAATGAAGTAATAAAAAATTTCGTATCCACAACTACCAATATTGTTGCCTTTAAATGTAAAGAAACCGCTTCATTTTCAGCAAATTCATGCTTTTTGCCAAATTTAATCTCGATGATACTAACAACAAAAAAAATAATAAAGAAAATTAATCATCTACAATTGCAAACGAATGCGAACCTGATTTTTGTAAGCTGCCCTGTTGGTATGTCTAAATACTGAAAGTCCGCAAGCAAGATGAGGGTAATTGCTCTCTACAGCTTCCTCTACTGCAGCTTCCAAATCACCGATCAGCAATAAGTGGAGGATTTTAGCAGGACCCGACGGTGGTGGCTTTCCATGTTGTTCAGTAGTTATTACATATTTTTGTAGCCATTTAGCAACCTCTTCACGACGATTTAACATCTTAGTGTAATTCGTATCAGCTGCATGACATGTTCAGTTAATTAAAAATATTGATTTTACTTAGATTTTATGAGTTTCCTGTGTTTGATAACAGAAAATGAAAAACTAGGCAGGAAACACACCAGTTCAATTAGATACAGGCACAATAATAAGATGAAAATACCTATGATTTGAGAGCCAAAAAGAGCATCACATAATTCCAAAACATTCGAATCATGTGACATGCTGTTGGATCTCGATGCCGCCAAGGAATAAGTTATTAAATCATAAAACTCCTATAAGCAAATCTAATTACAATATACTATCTATGTTTCGCTAGAAATTTGTTCAATCGAGAATAGATTATTTCTAAGAACCCATCAAAAACTTATTCAAATACCAAAACAAAAGAGATTTTATCAGGAGGCTATTGATATCACCAGTTTCAAAAAGAAGTTCAAAAATGAACTTACTCCATCTGGCTTTCTTTGTGAAACATTTTGGAAAATTAAATTGTCGGTATCCTCATTACTCATTATTTTACTCATAGAGTCAATTTTTCGGAATAGATCAATAATATATTCCTGAAATGGCCCTCATATGAGCAAAATTGGATCTATACAGAATGAAAACTGGGTAAGTAACTTAATATTTCGTGATTAAAGCTATAACAACAGAAAATTCAAATTAAAGGGAATTTACGGTAGGCACTTTATCGATACATTGAAGCTTAAGACATCGGACCGATAATGAATTGGGAAGATCGCTTATCCAATATACTCGACCTGCAAAAGAACAATCTAGATTATTAAACTCCCAACTTTTTTTGAAAAAAATATCTCTCTTGCTCTAATTTTGGGTTTACCACTAACGATCATTTCAAGTCTTTGATCACACTACTGGCTAATTTTAAGTCTTGAAAAAATCAACTAACCGTGATTCCAACTTACGCGTCCACATCTCCCATTCATTAATGAACCGTCTATAAATGTACCGGTTCTTCCGGCTATTTTCATGATTGTTTGTTCACCTTCTTTAAGATAACTTTTTATTTCATTAACCGGATCAATAAGATATATTTGCGACTGGCTCGTGCTATCTTCTTGCTCCTCCGCGTCAATCATCAGAGAATCACCCATCAAATCATCTACAAATCATGATTTTTTAAATTAAAAATTACTTTGAACAATAAAATAACTAGTCAGCAGAAGCATCCATCAGCTGCAATGGATTCTTACAATTTTTTGAGCTTCGATTTCATAGATTTCTGACGTCTATTAACATTATCGCATTAATAATGGTGATATGTAAACAGAGGAGATTAAAATGAAATTAGAATGAACGTAAAACAAACCTAGAACTGCTTTATTATCACAAAATTCCATTTTATGCTCCGTTTCTGATACCATACTTGTCCGAATAGAGTCATGCACAACATGTGTATCAAAGAAAGCATTCTGCTCAAGAAATGATTTTCCATAACCTTAAATTTATGGGCGCATTATGAACTGAAAAGAGTCGGTAGAAAGAAGAATGATCACTACGGTCCATTACTATGAATAAAACATAAATGTCGGTACCGTTGATTCCACCCAATCCACGTACAAAAAACAATGAATCAATTTGTTTCAATTCTTGTTGATGATCCTGAAATGTGAACATTTCAACCATATAATTTGTCATACGAAAAAATGATCTGTGAATCAAATTTGAAAATGAGTGGTGTCGATCATCGTATGAGGAATGATGTATTTTAGATTGTTGTACTTTTCACATTTTACTAAATGAGGTTCTACTGCAAATTATTAAAAGAGAGGCTCCAAAAAGTTGAATCAACATTAATCAAACAGCCACTTATATTTTGTTGTTTTTAAGATTGTTTAATTTTACTTGAAAGCCATCAGTTGTAGAGGCACCCGAGGCCGCCGTGTTAGCAATCTCATCTTCATGAGCAACTTTCAGCTTTGGTAATTTGGCGCGCTGCACAGCGTTTTGGATTCTGCTGGCTTTAAAAGCTGTCTTCAACTCCGTCTCATCAAGCATATCATTGTCATCGTCTTCCTTAAAAACTCGCAACATTCTGAGGATAAACCTGATAACTTGCAAAAATTATGGTTGGCTGCAGTATTTTAGTTTTTCATATAGTCAAACTTAACTGAAGATAATATCGTGAATTGATAAAAACAAAAACTACAAATATAAGAGAAATAATTCCTACTGTTAAGAAATAAAATTTACCGTCAATCCGTATTTGGTAAAGTGCGGCACTGTGAAAACCCAAGTGCCTGTTTCAGGACGATAATCCTTGAATTTTGCTCCCATTTTTAACGAAGCACGTTCTAGTTTTGCCCGATAGCCCATTTCTTCTAGCCGAAGAGGGTCCTCAAAAAAAAACTTCATGATTTGTGATAATTGCTAAAAATTCTAATAAAACTTTTCTGTACACAATAACATCAAACGACCATGTTTAAAACAAACCGTGATATATTCTCTAGTTTTCTTATCGCGAGGCCAAACTCTGTCCAAACTAACTTCCGCGAATCGATTTAATTCCTGTCCAAGTGGTGGTTTCGAATTATCATCAGGATATACAATCACTTCATGTTGACGAAAATGTACTACCTGAAACAAAGCTAACGTTAACAAAGAAGAATCTTATTGTAAAGCTCCAAACAACAAATAATTTTGGAAAACTGTTACTTCTTTCCTTATAAAAATAATAAAAATAAAGACCAAAACCTTATCCAAATTAACATCGCGCAAGTCGAATGGTCCAGGCCAGAAAACACTTCCAAAAGCTAGCCGACGTATCGTAAAGCCACTTTCAATATGACAAACACCGTTATTCTTCAGCGCCATTTCCGCGAGTTCTTCTAACGATGGTTCACATTCATAATCTCGCCTATAATAAATGTAATTCTAAGCTAATAATGAAGTGACACAACTTCTTTGAAACATAAACAATATGGTTATCAGTAGCATGACAGATTTTACATGCTGTAATTGTATTGCAGAAATGTTATCTATTCATGTTCGAAATTTCATCAAAAGAATTCAATATGTTGTGAACTTTAAAGAACTGAATGCCGCTAAACTAAAACTAAAGAAAACTACCTTGTTAAAATTATGCCTGCTGGATGAACACTACGCAAGGCAGCATTTTCAGAAGGGGAATTGACAACACTGCTATTAGTTACATCCAATGAATTATTGATGTTCTCCTCTTCGGAATACGCCTGAATTAGTACTTTATAAAAATTATTATTTTTTATACGAACTTGTCGGTCTAAACATTTATCAAATATTTGGCTCGGTGAAGTGTAACTGACCCGATTAATCATCTAATTTAGGAAAATTTCAGACATGTACGCACATGATATCCATAAACATGATTTCAAACTTTCTCAATAATTAGTGATGTGCTTGCAGGCTATATAACTTAACGACTAATTTGGATGGATGATTATGACCACGCCTGCTACAATAGCTGAAGGACTTCACAAATACATTCTCTCAAAAAGATCAACGCTAAAATTTCAGAATGAAAGAGGATTAAAGGAGCAGGAAACCTTAATTAACTTGAGAGCCAATAAATAAAAGACAAATAATATGATTAAATAAACCATTGACGAAGACACTTCAGTTGTCCGCTGGAGTCCAGAGTGAGAATTGGTGGGTTGTCCTTCTGCAGCATTTGTATTGTCAACTGACAAATTTGCCGAAGGTGACAAAACGGACGAAACGCCTGTTCTCTGTCCCGTCGTTGCCAACTCGGCAGTAACTGATCGCTATAAAAATTTTTTTTCCGAGATATCAGCACCATTTAAAAAATTTTGATTTTCTTTTAATTTTTCAAAACAGTGACTTACAGTGTCTGCCTTTGAAACTGTTCCAACTTGTACATTATCAGTCGTTTCATTATCCCCATAAGTTTGTGCTACTGATGAAGAAGTTTGTGCTACTGAGTTGGCGGAATTCCGTCGATTTTCCTGCTACAATTTTATTCTTTTATTCCCCAATCATTCACCACTTTTTGAATTTAAAAATAAATTATCTTTTATAAACATGATATAGTCGTGACGGTCAACCTAAAATAAATCTACGAAATGAAAGTATTAAACTTCTCTCAAATTTAATTCAGTACCATATACTTGTGGAGAACACTAAGATCAAGTCGTTTAACGTTCGAATTGTGCTTTGACTTCGACAACTGGCTAGTGTTCGTCCCCAAAAAGTTTGAAGGATCTACTGATGAAGACGAACCATTAGTACTATATGATCTGAAAGTGATATTTTGAGCAGTTCGAAAATCCATTATCTCCAACGACAATAATTCCAGTCCGAACAACAAGGAAGTATTAATTAAGAGGATTTAGTCATCCCATCACCTAAATTTCACAAAGAACTTTATTCCATATTGTCATAGCAGGAAAAACCTATTAGCATACCTATTAGCGGTGCTGTCAAGATTCAATGATGTGTTCTTCCTATTACTTCCTCTAAGGCCAGGTGGCAAAAACATAGAGTGGTATGTAAAATCCCCGATGCTGTCTCGGGATTTGGAAGCTGAAAGTCTGATACGTGATGCAGCAGAAGGTATTGAACCCAGTGCAAGTGGTCCACTCGGTGTTGTTGTTGTCATTGCAGTTGCATCTTTCTTTGAAGCCAGAAATCGAATTTGTCGCTCTACACTATAAGTGTAATGATAAATGAATATCTTACAATAAATTAATTAAAACAAGAAAAAAATCGTTTGGAAAAAATTTGCCACAAGCACAATTAGTTTACGATATATACTTATATATAACTGAGTAAATACCAAACAATTCGGAAAAAATAAAAATCTTAAAATAAAATGGATCTTATTAATATTATGAAATAGAAGAGAAAAATAAACGTTTCAGTAACCTGACAGGGTTGAGAATATTTGATTTTTCTTGTGATTCAGTCGTTAGAAGTTTTAATAATGGATTATCACCGTAAGGACTAGCTGCTAACTGTGCTTCGATTACTGCTTTTTCAATTTGCCATTGATTAAAATCGGCACCCAAAACAATGGGTGCTGCTGACGACACATTACCACCTGCTACTTGTTGTGTGGAACCGAAAACTGTAAAACATGTAAAGCTTTATTTTTCCATTTAATTTCTCTCCTACAATTTCAAACAAGTACAAAAATCTTCTATATAGATACTCACCAGGCTGCGCCGCAGTGGAACCAAATAAGGAATTAGTTGGTTTGGATGCAGATGAGCCGAATAATGACGGTGTTGAGGAAGGAGCCGCTTGTCCGAAAAGACTTCCTAAATGCCAACAATTAAACAGTAGAAAATTCGAGGTCTAAAATACTTTGATTATATAAGATAATAATCTATTTTCAACTTTAATATAGCACCTGTATTCGAGCCAAATAATCCACCAGTAACAGGTTTAGAGCCAAAAAGTCCACCAGTTGACTGAGTGCCTGAAATATATTTTTTTCTAAAAGCCTCTTCAGTATCGACAATGAAAGAAATTCAAAATCTCTGAATTTATATAACAATTTCAGCAATAGTTGACAACACATACCAAAGGGTGAAGCTGTGGACGTAGATGCGCCAAAAGCACTAAAACCTGAAGTAGAGGGCTTGGCACCAAAAAGACCCGTCGGAGCGGTTGATGTTGCGGGTTGCTGAAAGTTATTGCGAAACATGATGAATTTGTTAAAAATAAATTAATTATACGTTGGAAAAAAAGCAAGCAATGCAATTAGAATTCTCTCTGAAAATTTACTAAATGAAGCTATAGCATTCCATCCTTGAATAATAAAGATGGAATACCGTGATTCATGCATCACAAGCATGATCACATTAATATAAACCACTGTATTTAAAATAACAGCATCAATTATTCTCTCACCGTACTGTTACCAAATGTAAATGGGCTTGATGCGGATGTGGTAGCGCTGAAAGCTGGTCCACCAAAAAGTGACGAACTTTGAGTGCCGAAACCCTGAAATTACCTAACAAAATCCTTGCGTAACAATCAAAGCGAAACAAACAACGAAATAGAGCCAAAACTAAACTTTACGACATAAAAGAAGAAAGACAAAAGAAATACAAGCTGCATGAATCTGCAATCACACTTCTTTTAAATAACTGGATGTGCTCTACTATGTTATAATTACGCTTAGCTTCTGGAGTCTTAGAAAGACTTTCAAGAAGATAAAAATAAGCAAAATTACAAACGAATGATAAAGCAATAAGGGTACTAGGTAAGTACTTCACTATGATAAACGAACAAACCGATCTTTGGCGATATAATATTTCAAAAACCTTTTGCAATAGACAGACAAGAACGAAAATGAGGAAAAATAACTAATTATGCTTGGCGTTCGATTAAATTCTTCATAGACATCAGTGATACAACAATATTTTGAAATAGGATAAATGAACGACCAAAATAATACAATAAAAAGTAAATGAATCAAACCGTTGATGGTTTCGCTCCAAATAGTCCTGTGCTAGTCTGAGTTTGCCCAAATGGTGATGCTACGGTAGAAGAACCAAAGAGTCCTCCACCTGTTGGTTTACTACCGAAGATTGATGTAGTGGTTGTTGGGGTTCCAAACAACATAGATGAGGTTGTGGTTGTAGTGCCGAAACCAGTCGAGGCTAAGAAGGAAGTTCATCATAAATTAAATCGTTTATGATCAGAATTTGCTTAATCTGAACATTATGTAACTATGCAACTGACAAAGAATGACTTTTTTTTCAAATCTCTCAAAATAATATGCGAGCTTCACTAAGCCCATTAAACATTTGAAATAACTAAAAGATTTATAAAAAAGGGACTTACTGCTTCCAAAAAGTGGTTTACTTTGACCAAAAATTGATGGCTGAGTTGTAATTGTACTGGTACCAAACAACGAAGAAGATGGTTGTGAAGTCTGACCGAATACCAAACCACCACTCTGGGGACCTTTTCTATTTGCTAAATAATCATCGCATCGCAACTCCTATAAGATTATCAGAATGTTCAAGTTTTACTTACTTTATTTTGTTTATTCCACAACATATAAAGATGTTATGCTGAAGAACTCCAATTATTTTCCAAAATTCGTGAAATAACGCTGGCAAAATGAATAAAAATAATCAGCTTATATAAAAATTATTGTCCTTATCAGCTAAAGCGGAAATACTCTAAATTACAAACCTCTAAACTTTTGTTTTCATATTGTTTCATGGCAGTGATACACATATGTTTCGTGCTAATCGTTTGATTAGTACCATTACGAAGCATAGTATCTGTGGATGTAGGAGGTTCAAATTTAATAGTAGTACCCGATATGGTTGATGCTGGAATATTCCATTTATAATAGAGTAGCAAACATATCTCAAATTCTGTCAGCTTTCTAGAAGCTCATAAACACGCAATTCTACAAAATGAAAATAAATGCTAGTAATTAGTAATCCCATACTTCCAAAACTTGATCCGAATACACCACTAGTTTGTTGTGCCGGCTGAGTTGAACCAAACAATGATGTAGTACCACCGAAACCTGCTGACTGCGTTGTCGACGATGCACCAAAAAGTGGTTTTGACTGGCCAAATATTGATGTAGAGGCAGAGGAAGCAGGCTGCGTGCTTCCTAAAACAATGTCTAATTCGGGAATTATCATCATTTCATCTAATAATTCAAGCTTGATTTCATTCCATAACTTTAAAATTTCTCTCTTCTCATGTCAATAAAATTAACCAAACCGAAAAGTGATGTCGACTGTCCAGGAGAGCCAAAAATAGATTTTTGCCCGAATAAACCCGTGCTCTGAGTGGTCGTTTGTGTGCCAAATCCTGTTGTTGATCGATTAGTGGAAGATCCAAACAAGGAGCTGCCTGCTACAATGAAAAATGTTACAATTATAAGGACACAATATGGAAAATGAGCTCATGAGACTCATTCCAAAAAGAGAAAATGCTTTGCTCACTGAAAATATGGAATTTGCAAAATTGAAATGTCAACTGATAAAGCATAAATAGAGATTTACTGTCAACTGATAAGTAAGAGAAGCAGAGGTAAATAGTAAAAAAGGAAAACATTACAGTAGTATAAGCAAGCTTTATTTCAGGGTGGTACTATAACAAAGAGTAGGTTCATCACTCTTTCAATGGACCGAAATCTCTTTATTTCTTTCGGAAAAGTATAGCTACAGAAAGCTTCTTCAAAGAAGTGAAATCTCAAAAATCGGATACAACTTACCGCCAAAGGCAGACGTATTGGATGAACCGAAAGGCGATTTTCCAAACATTTTGGATGGAGTGGATATTGCACACTGAGAATGTCTTGTAATATGCACTAGGATAAAAGCTAAACAAACCTGAAAATACAACAATATAATAAATGTAAAGCACTAATCCTGATGACTTTTACGTGACCAGTAGAAAAGAAACATATGAGTGAAACCCTCCCGCGTTCCAAACCGCTCAATTACTAATCAGCAAATGAAAATATGAAATTTTGATATTGTGCCAAAATCGATTTTTGAGCGCCAATTTAAATGACTAAATTACAACGTTAAAATACTTCTGTCCATTTCGATGGACCAACCGACCGACTAACCGCTTCGTAGCAAATATTCATCACCGCCATATGTTATTTCCGGCAATGAGCTAACCACTCAGGTTTTCGGTATATTCTGCAGTTGTATTCTGTTTTCTACAGATAGAGAGGTACCAAACTTTCATTAATTTGGTTGAGTCATTCTAACTTTTTCGTATTTTTTTCGGAAAAATAGACTATGATTATCTTATGGATCATGTGTAACTTCACAATTAGCATCAACTCTGGTGATAACTACGTAAAAGAAATAAAGATGTCTTACACCGATTTACTGATCAATCGATTTATTGACTTTAATGAATGGTTTTGTAGGATGATGGACTGAGAGAGCAATATTTTCTTGAAAACAGGATTAAAACATACGACGTTCGAATTAAGAATTTATACAAAAGCTGCAAGTTGTTAAGGTATTTCTTTAATTATTATATAATATTAATAATATAAAACTTTTTTGGAATTCTTATTCTAAAACATATTCAAAAGTAAAATGAACTAAACATAAGAGGAGATAGAGAACAAAATGATAAGTTCTGAAATATATGATTTAGAAAAGACAAGAGATATTCTGGAATAAGATTTGAAATATAATTTAAAAGAATATAAATGTGTTTTGGAAGAAGAATTCAGTTCCAACAACGTTAAAAAGTTCCTTATAATTATTCCAACAATATTAAAAGAATTTGGAAAACATCATATAATTTGTGGTTGTGAAATTGAAAATTTTCAAATCATATATATATATGAATTGAAGTACGAATCCTCATTATTGATCATAACTGATCTGCTTCATTTGTTGATAACACTTCTGGAAACTTCTTCTGGATCTGCATATACTTGTATATGTATTAGGTAATTATCATGTAAGATATTGATCGTTGGCAAAATTTTTGCTTATTTGAAAACAGGAATAAGAAAGATGGAAAGAACGAGATAAAATTTTACTTTGAATAATATCAAACATTATTACGAAATTAACCAACCTTATTTCCAATCTGAAGATTAGGAAAAATTTGCTTTGATTAGTGATTAACTCTATCAATGATTTGACAATATCACAAGCATATCGATTCTTATGTACAAGACAATATTCTTAGTGTCAATGCTACTTTAGATTAGTTTTTAATAAATATCTAACAAACTAATATGCCCTTTATTTATTTGTCCATTAAGTTAATGATGATTTACTATAGTATTGAAAACTGAGTTAAAAGGATGTGTAGAGAAAATTTTATGTGATTTTTGTCGGATCGAGTCATATAAATATTACATTGAAATATACGGAAAATCTATGAGTTTTTAAAATTTAATTGTTGCTTTGAATTTATCGGTAAATGAATTAAGGTTATATGTGTACATTTAGTCTTGAAATCCTAAGCCTAGGCTAAGGCTAATCAGAAACAACTATTCCCAAATGTTTGAAGCATTTTCATCGAAAATGAATTGTTGTTTTATTGCAGTTGTTAAAATAGGAAAAGGAAAATAATTCAGATGATGGAAGAAAAAGAGGAAAAGAGCCTCACTTTATGACCCAACTTGAAATAGATATTGACTTTATAACAAGTTTTAACATTAGGCATTGGCATTTAAAGCTAAACATCATTGCTAACGTATGATAACTGAAAATCGTTTGACAGTGTTAAATTTATACAGTCTCAAATATTCTCAGTCAAATGATCTGATATGTTTTGTTTAATTCCCTTAATTCATTATTCTAAAGAATACTGCAACTGACTTACATTAAATAACTACCTTTTTACCTTTATCTGTTATTATCTGTTCAAACAATTCTTTATTTACTACTTGTTTACTGTAAAGAGGCTCAGCAATCATCTCCGAGATGACAGTGTTAACTACAGCTTTTAAACGAGGCGGTTTTAGCATCTATACTCATCTGAAGCAACATCTCAACCATAGTCCCAAATTATTCTCCTGGTTAATAGAAAAGAAGAATAATCTCTCAATTGACTATTTTTCTGACAATTCTATTATAACATCAAAAAGAATAAACTTTTCTATTGTTAGTTAACTTTTCGTTAATGTTTCGAAGCTTTCCAAAGTAGAAAACAGTAGCCAAAGTTTTCTCAAAAGTTTCGACGCCTTACCAAAGCAAAAAAAGCAGTCACTAAAGTTTCAATTCGAAAAAGTCAATAAATGAGAATAATAAATTTTCTGCTTTATTTTAAACTAATTCAATTTTCTAACAAAATTTACATTTTTAATATTTTGTTATTTGCAAGATAAGACATTGATAATTGATAAAATCAGTATATTCTTTTTTTTACGTTAACACAAAGCAGTCGTCTACTCGTTATATTTATTGACAACTTTGTTTTTTCAAGTCAGTGGAATTTTTTTGAATTCTGAGGAAAAGAAATTGATTTTGATAAATGAAGAAAATTGATTCCATCCTGAATATTTTTTGCTGATAGAATTTTTCATGATAGAGCTGATAAAGCTAATGCATAAGTAACGAAGAAAAAAGTTTTAGAGTTAATTTTAATTATGTTATAAAACAATGGTAAATATGATTTGAGATGGAAGAAATTAAAGGATGAAAATTGAAGTGCGAACTACTGTGATAGTATCGATTATAATGATCGGAATGTTAACGACAGCTGGAATTATCAGTTATATGATTATAAAGCATCGAAGGAAGGGAATGGATGAATTGGAAACGGTTAATCATTCATTTTATTATTTGTTTACAGTTATAAAATTTTAAGAAGAATGTATAAACTAGAAGAACATTTGTATTATCATGGAAATGAAAATTGTATGATACAATTAGTTTTAATTATATTAATTAAGGCTTTTTTTCTTTGTTAGGCAGAAGAATGTGAAGCATTGCAGAAATATCTTAAAACATGTGTTGAAATTTTAACGTTTTTCTTTTTCTTTTATTTTACCTCTAAATTATTTTAGAAAAGAATTTTTCTTAGTAATAGTCATTTTGAGTGCTGCCTTATTTCAAATTTGAAAATTAAATTTTTTGCAATGGAATAATTGAATTCTTTAGGATCAAGGATCAATGAAAGTAAACGTAAATTCTAAACCACATCAAAAGCAAATGTCAACGAGATCACGCCATCGGAAAGAGCGTGGCAACTTACCTATAAATTCGAGAAGGTCAGATTAAATTTTAATGCTGAATTGCTCTCAGGATATTATGTAATCTCAAATGCAAGCTAACATCTTTTATTTAAATATTTCGCCTTTTAGAATTCGATTTAGCAAATCTCAAGGTTCAGGACAACAAAGTCAGTGATGAAGTAGGTGTTTTCATTTCGATAAGTGTTAGGTTTTTAAAACTAATCAAATGTTTCAGTAATCTGAGGCCAATTCATTTCTCAACAATTATCTTGAATTTAGGACCAACCGAGATTTCCATGTTTTCAATTCTTTCATTTTTTGGAAAAATTTGATAGTACCAATAGCATCAACAGCTTTCGATTCATTTTGTTGACAGCTTATTTCGGTCGGGTTAGATCATTACAAAATAATTGTATTAGGTTAATATGCAAATGCTATGGAGAAAGAAGACCCTATCAGATGTATCTTGCAAAAATAATTCCTCGAAATGTTGAACAAATTTAACTGGAATAATATGATATTGTAGAAGTACTGCTGTTACAGCATAATAGATTCTCTTACTTAACTTTTTGTCAGCTTATCATTAGTCATATCACTCTATCACATTCTATATGATTTTGATAATAAGCAAGGAATTTGATATGCAAATTGAAATAAGCAATATTCCCATCTATAATGAAATTTAAGAAAACATTATTGTATTCTAAACTGATATAATATAATAAGTGAAATATGTGATAAGATTAAATGTTAAATAACTGAATGGCTTTTTATTTGATGCTTCATTTAATCAACGGTTCTGGTTTTAGCTATCCGGAAGAAATAATGAACAGGAAAAAGATTGGATAAGATGATAGAATAGGAAGAAAATTGTATTTACAGAAATATATTTCAAAATAATTATATCAAAAAAACTTTTTTATTTCAGAAAAGATTTGATAATGTGCGGCGATCGATCATTCATCGGAAATTTCAATAATTCAATGAATGATTTTTTTCCTTTTTTTCCCTTTCAAAACTTAGTGATGTGATGTAGCAATAAAAGCATAACGATAATTGATAATAAAGAGAAGGTTTCAAATTCACGCATCTATCAAATTTGATTTATGAATACAATTTTCATCCCATCTTCGTTTCATTATAATTTAACAGCAAAAATCTAAGAAATCAAAATTACGCTAATAAACGGAAAACAGCAACTACGTTATTTCTACCTGCATCGTTCTACACCCATCCCTACCTGATTCGTTCATCCGTACTGTTTCATTAACAATTCATTCATCCTCATTTTCTTGCAATTTCATGTCGTCCATTTCTACCTTATCCACCACCTATTATTTATTCTACTCCTCCTTCTAACCACACAGATACACACACACACACACACGCATACACATACACAGACATATGTACACATAGGAGATATACATGTGCGCAGGCGCACATGCACACACATACATATCAATAATACATACATATTTACCGCGTGTGAGCAGCACGAGGTCATTTCTTATCCGAGAATTTCGCACTTTTATTTAATCTTATTGGCATTTTTTTTTCGAAATTTTAAATTAAATTTATGTTGGGTGGTGAATGTGTTGTAACATTGATGTGAACTGCTTGATAGTTTTATCATTTTAATGCATAGCTGACCTTCATTTGTATTATTGATAAGTATGTTTATTGCGCAAATGTTTGTATCTTAGAAATTTGTCATAAATCAGTTTTTCAAATAAATATAATTAGAGCGTTTGACAATTATCGATTGATTGGAAAGACTATCATTACTGTCCCATACAGAAAAGTGAATTAAAGTTATGAAAATGATCGAATAATTATTGACAATGATAATTAGTGGAGTAAATTGATAAAACAAATAATCTCAATTTTCCTCAAGAAAATTTCTCAAGAAAATAGCAATTTTTATGTCATATATAATAAATAATTTTCGTATTCGAACAATCATTTAATTTGTCAAGTATGCAAGATATTTGAATTAATTGCTTAGGAATGAATTTCACTAATTGCTACGACATTTCCGCCTTTGTAATGATTTGATAAGTATCATGTTTTTTTTTGATTATTGATGCTATTGTATTGATGCTATTGCTTTGCAATTATCATTTAAGCATCAGAATCTGAGAATATTTGATATTTTATAAATAGTTTACTGTTTTATAAATATTAATCGATAGACATTTTGAATTTAATAAATTTACTAATTATAACATTAATTTGTAAATATGCGGCGCTTTTGACTGATTAAAATTTATGACTAGAATTAATCTCATTTATTCAGTTTTTTTTTCTCCTTTTCCATCATCCCTATCACTTATCTTAGTGAACTTCTGATATTTGATAAGTTTAACTTCCATTTCCATTCAGTTAAGAATCTTTCTTCTTTCTTATCATAATATTCCAAGTGGAATTGATAGTTGAAATTTAAAAATATTTAAAAGTTATCTTTCTCATTTCATTCTTTCTTTATTTTCATCAAATCATCATAATTACTTATAGCTGTTTTAATATCAATTCCATTTTTATATTTTCCTCTAAATAGGATTATTATCAGTTATGGCTGATAGAAGAAATGAGAGAATAAATACTTCGAAGACATTTGAAGATGTAAATGATAGTGTTGTTTGATGTAAGTTCGAGTTTGAAAATAGCTTCCGAGTGGTGCTATTATTTCAATTCCTAATAGTGTATGTTATTTGAAAAATTAAAATGAAATAATACCTGACAGGATCAATTAGAGATGAAGCTTAGCAGGATTTATTTTTCAAAGCTAATTTTGTTTTACTATCATTTTGCTAATATTTTGAATAATTCCAATAATTTATTACATTTAGAATCTATTCAATTTAATAAAGTTAAAATTAAACAAATATTATTACTTTTAACATCACAAGAAATCATAAAGTTTCTGCTATTTGTTAGTATTATTGAAAAATCAAATTTCTGTTTAGCTTAAATTTAAATTCTTAGTGATATGCAAATTAAAACTCCACTAGTAAAATTGCGGGGAATTTAGAGTAATTTTCGAAGAACTTTTGCGCATTAATAATTAGAAGTAACTTTTGACATTTTCAAATATGAATGAATAACTTGTGATGATGAAATTTCTACACGATAAATGTATATAGAGTAAGTTATTCATAGTATTATGTACGTGATCGATCTTTTATGTACCTTAGAATAGGCTTCTATTAGAATTATTCGAGTGATCGAATGGAGATCAGTAAGGTAATCGATGATTTTATGAATAGATATCTAAACAGATATTATTGCTATACTTTTTTAAGTTTACTTTTAATGAGAAATCCGATAATAAAAAAAACTAACCCTTTACTCTTATAAGTTTTTCTTGTTAATATTTTGCATTATACTTTATATATATATGGTGACCTGTCCTTTAACCTTTACACATTAAATGGCTGCTAACTTTTGTTTCTCGGTTGGCACAAAGAGAAACGATAATTTTATTGTATTAAAATTATATTTTTCATTTATTTATGAATCTTTAAAATAAATTATTCAAAAAAAAGGTAAATTAATGAAAGAATAAGAATGGCTTGAGGATAAGATAATATTTTAATTGGATGGATTGGGTAAATTAAGAAAAGAGCTAACTTAAATTTCAATTTTAGATAGAAATTCTTGTTGATCGTATTGATTGGATGATTTCAGATATGTATTGATTGATATTTGTATATTTTTCATTTTTCAATTTACAATTTATATTTGTATATTTTGAAATTTAAAACGAATATAGGTCAGAGTGCTCAATTATTACTCATTTTTCTTGTAATGAATGAAAGAGAAGAAATTTTTTAATTGATGAAATTGTGAAAATATCATTAAACATTGTGATAATTAAATTAATAAATTTTCATTATTGTTGAATAGTTCATTTAACTGATAAAACAATGAGAAAAGATAAATCATTACAGTTTTTATGAATTAATATTTTTAAGAAAAAATGAGGCTATTTGAAATTTCGACAAAATAATCATTCATTTAATATTAGAATATTTTAAATATTAAAATTCTATTTCTTCTCCTATTTCTATTTGCTGATTAGTTTCAATTTTCGAAACTCTCTTATCACTATCACTATCACTATTATTGTAATTTTATGAGCATTATTACTTATCATTACTTGATCAAATTTTATTATCATATGTTTATCATTATTTTATTTTTTTCACTTATTTTTATCAATTTTCATTTCATTATTTATTTAGCGCTTTTGATTGCAAAATTTTTATTATAATCTTTAAATGTTTATTTCAGAATATTTTCACAGTAATCAAAGATTGGGCTTGAATTGTGACCATTTGACCATTAAATTATACAATAGTTGTTTCCATCCAACTCTTTCTATTATGTCATTAACAATTAAATAATTTGTTCAATTTCTGATTCTAATGTTTATACATCGATTACTGCGTATATTTCATCGGCGCAAATTGCATAGACTACTTTTTGCATTCTTATTTCTTCTGGCTTTTCTAATATGTTGGAGTCTACTAACGATTACTATTCTAATTGTTCAAGATAAGGTTAGCTATTTCAAATAAATTAATCAAAGTTATTCCTTCATAAAATTTGAAAATTAAAAAGGCGAAATATGAAGTGCTTATGTCATTTTCAACTTTGTCGAACATTAATAGCCTATCGGGCGCTTTTTCATTAATGAATTGCGCCAAATGCTTGCTTATATGAGTGACATTATTATATTTAATGGTAATATTTTGTCTTATTCGATATAGTCTACATTATACGTATCATACAATAGTTCTAATATTAATTTTAAAATTCATTTAATCTCACTAATAAAATGTAATATGAAATATATCCTTTCTGAATATATTCATTAGCTATTATTTTTTAATTGCTAGCAAAATTTGAAATTTCATTTTCATCAAATTTCAGAAATTCAACTATCAAACGCTTATTTCTGAAGATATCATTATATCTCTATTTAATTTAAATTCAACATTTTTTCAAATTCTTTTTTCCTATTTGTTGAAGATCAAAAATTTTTTTCTACTTATTGAAATATGAAAAATTGAAGTGTAGAAGGAAAATATTTTGAAATGACAGCAAATAAAGATATATTTAAAAGGATTCATTTTTGAATTATAAAAAATTTGAAATAATTTCTCATTGCCAATTTATATCAGTGAAATCATCCTATGATAATTATCATCCTTTAAAATATTTCATATTTTGAAATTTTTTCATAATTAACACCAATTAATAATATATAATGAGAAATAGTTTCTGATTCAGAAATTTGTCTACCATATATATCCATATATCATTGATAAAAAAAGATAATCAAATAGATGAAAGGAATTTGTTAATTTCAAAGAGCAAATTTTTAAATTCTGTCAGGGAAAGTAAACACTTTCTCCCCAAATGACCAATGGTGGTGCGAAATTTAAATGAATAAATATTTTCATTCATATAAATTAGCATAATTTAATTTGTTGTATATTTCGTATCCGGATTTGCCTGTTTATTTTAGATTACCTATTATGTTGAAGAGGTATCCACGAATAAAAATTCATATTTAAATCGAGGAATACAAATAGTTGTTGGTCATTACAATGGAAATCTTGCCAAAGATAAATTTTCCAATTTAACTGATGGCAAGTTTCTACTGATTTTCACTGTTGTCTTCTATAACCTATTCATACATTAATTGATTCTTCGCCTAATTTTTCGAAGTGTTTTAAGAGAAGCCTGGAAATTTGTTAATATAACAATGTGTATGGTTTATCCTAAATTTTAGATTTTGTTTAATTTACATGGATTTCAGAAGTTGAATTAAAATGAAGATTTTTTAGAACAATTGAATGCAAATAATTATGCCCCAGTTATTGGTGCTGGAGAAGATGGACAACCAGTTAGGCTAAGGAAAGCGGATGAACGCCTTTCCGATGATACCTTTGCTATTAATCAGGTTTTTCAAATTAGCTTTTTTAAAATCGTCTGTTATGTCGTCTCGTTACCAGTATGAATACAATTATGTCGTCTCATTACCAGTATGAATACAATTTTTCGTATTTAAAGTTTTAAGATTTTGCGCAAGAATCATTGCAATATTATGCTGGTTGTCAATAAAACTAAGAATCATTCAATTTCAGTTCAATTTGGTAGTGAGTGATCGAATAGCTCTAAATAGATCATTGCCCGATATTCGTAAACATCAATGCCGAATCAAAATCTATTCACGTATGTGAAAAAAATCTCATTTGTTATTTATTTTTGTTAATTAAAATGAATCTTTCATTCCTTAATTAATCAATCTTTTAATTATGAAAGATTTAGTGAATAATGAATTATATTAATTTCAGCTCCTTCGCAATTACCAACTACCAGTGTTATCATCGTTTATCATAATGAAGCATTTTCAACATTAATGCGTACCGTTATGTCCGTAATTCTTAGATCACCACATGAAAATTTGAAGGAAATTATTTTGGTGGATGATTTCAGCACAAGGAGTAATTTTTAATTAATGCAAAACTTTTTTTGCTTATAAATTTTAATTGTAAAAGAATTTTTTAACGCAAAATTTTAGACGAAGTTCTTTTTCTTTTTTTTTGAAATTATTTTCATTAAATTTATTTTATTTGCAGCATTTTTGAAAGCTGAATTAGATAATTTTGTTGCTAAATTGAATATTCATATCAAAGTGATCCGAGCAAATGAACGGGTCGGTTTGATAAGAGCTCGATTAATGGGCGCTAAGGAAGCAGAAGGTGATGTATTAACTTTCTTGGATTCACATTGTGAATGTACTAAAGGATGGATGGAACCATTATTGGCACGGATTAAAGAAAACAGGTAAATAATCATTTAAAATAATGAATATTTTAATTTTTCTACTAATTGAGAAACGAACAAAATAAATAGGTATGAATGCATTTGATGGATTTTATTGTTTAAGAAAAAAGAACTTTCGATGATATTTTGCAGAAAAGCAGTAGTTTGTCCTGTGATTGATGTTATCAATGAGCAAACCTTTGCATATCAGAAAGGTATTGAGCTATTTCGCGGTGGTTTCAATTGGAATCTTCAATTTCGATGGTATGCGCTACCATCAGAAATGATAAAATCACGAAGTGATGATCCTACAAAACCAATCGTGTTAGTGTCTTTATTTTAAAATAAGTCATTGTTGTGGTCTCTAATTCAGAAAGATCATCAAGAATCTGATTCATAAAATGAATTCAAGAAACTGATCTTAAACCTTTTATTCATAATCGATATTATCACTATTTAATAAAAACAAGCTCTTCTTTTGCCAATTATTTAATCAATGTATCATTTCAATTCCTAAATGAAATCGGTTTATCTAAGGTAATTCAGTCTTTTTTTTGAATAATTTGATTCCAAAAAAAAATGCAAACAATGAAATTCCAGTTCACCAGCAATGGCTGGCGGATTGTTTAGCATCGATCGGAAATATTTTGAAGAAATTGGTACCTACGATCACGAAATGGATATATGGGGTGGCGAGAATATTGAGATATCTCTGAGAGTTTGTTTTAAAGTATTTTAGGAAAGAGATGTTGATAATAATGAGCAATTCGATTAATTTATAAGTTAAATGAAGTTATTTGACTTGATTCAAAGAAAAATTTATATGGTGGCAAAAACTAGCAGTATTTGTTGACCATACCAAGACAAATTTAAACTTAACACTTATGGCATATTTAAATTTAACCTTTCAGTGGGAATAATTCACACTGCGCTTAATTATAATAAACTGCACTTTACATATATCTGTTATTTGAAATTATCAAAAAAAATTGTCTCCAGGTTTGGCAATGTGGTGGGCGAATCGAGATTCTTCCATGTTCTCATGTAGGTCATGTCTTTCGTCGAGCTTCTCCACACGATTTTCCAGGTCGTAAATCAGGAAGCATTCTGAATAATAATTTGTTGCGAGTAGCCGAAGTTTGGATGGATGAATGGAAATATCACTTCTACAAAACTGCACCTCGTAAGTTAAATTGCGCCACTTATCAAGAATCTTATGTAACTATGACTGTCTAATATATCCTATATTATAAATATCTTCAGCAATTGTGAAATTTCATGATTCACTAAATAATGAAGTCGCATTTTAGAAGCGTATAAATTGCGTGAAAAAGTTGATGTAAGTGATCGTGTGGAACTGCGAAGACGTTTGCACTGCAAAAGTTTCAAATGGTTTCTCGATAATGTATGGAAGGATCATTTTTGGCCACAACCGGGAAATGCTTTTGGAAGGGTTTGTTTCTTTGCGAATTTTACCTCTCCACAATCGTAATTCTCATTGATATTGTCTTCAAATAATCAGGAAAATCTCATTATAATCTTTACATGAAATGGACTAAATTGAGGTAAGTAAAGATATTCGAAGTATACTTAATTAATGGATTCTAATTAAATCAAAAAGATCTAACTAATAGTTGTCATCATCTTCATATCTTTTAATATTCAGGTAAATGTCTAAGTAAGAGAATGAGAATTTGCTTGGATATACTTAGTCTAATTAACAGTGAGAGAGTACTTTTACTTTAGGTAATTCATTCAAGATCGCAAATTGATGGTCTAAATGGGTGCTTACATTGGACGGTGCCATTGGGTGAAAGCATGAGAGTAGCAACGATGCATAATTGTTCTACATCTGAAAGTTTCGATCGTACTGAGGTTTGCAAATTTTTCTTCTAATTTCAGATTTCGCACAGCACTTCAGGAAATTGTTTGGTAGCTCGAAATGGTGAACCTGGTACCAAACAATCTACCATTATGATGGCTCGTTGTACATTGGGTTTTGACATGTGGCAGGTGATCCTTTCAAATAGTTAGTTGATAAATAAGCATATTTTGTATGTGTAAACTGATAAAATTAATTTTTTGCTAATATATTATTATAAAAATTTCAGCTTTGGTTATTTACCAATGAGGGACAACTGAAAACAGATGAGCATTTGTGCCTTAGTGCATATCAACCGATACAGAAACCACAAAATTGGAAAGTACAATTAAAAGAATGTGGCCAATATGAATTTGAATATTGGGATTATAATTTCAATGTTAGCTTCCCAAATATAAATAGTATTATTTACTTTACCGAATCAATTAGATGATGAATTTCATTTATCATTAAGATTTTTCGAATTAGCACATATTTAAGTATAACATTAACTTTAAAATTATGAAACAATTATCTCACCGATCAATGAGACGAATTAAATTTTTGTACAGTCATAGCCTAATCTGAGAAGGAATAAAGAGCCAAATATAATTTCATAGAAATAAATATTTCAACATTGGCGTTATTTAGTTTATTCCTTCTTGATTAATTCTTTTTCTTGTTACTTTCTTCATTCAAATATTCTTTATTGAATATTCTTATCATTTTGCTGATAATTTTTAGAGAAAATCATTTTATCACCGTAAAAGTGGATTATGTCTTGATCAGCCATTCGAAGATCCTAATGATTATCATGCAACACATGTTTTAAAACCTACGTTGAAAAAATGTACACGTGGCGGATTAAATCAGGTAAATTTAATCCATTTCGAAATCATACAAAAATATTAATAATACAAAATTAAATGAAAAAGCTAATTTTGTTAGCTTAAAAGTATTGTTCAATAAAAAAAACATAATTAAAATGTTTTTTGTTTTAGAAAAATTAAAAATTACTTTTATTAAGCGGAAAAGGAAAATCTTTCACATTTATAGAAAAAAAGGAGGAAATAAATAAGAATGTTTTGACGAAATGAATAATTATCAATAAAAGTTAAATTATTGAGAAGACTAATTGAACTATTGATTTAAATTATTGATTTAAAAAATTATTGATTTTATTGATTTAAATGAATGAATGCATTTGTAATTAACAAACAAATCATTAAAACAAAAATTTTGATTCATTAAAACAAAAAAATTTTGACATTAAAACAAAACCATTAAAACAAATAAAACAAAAATCCAAAAATTTGTTAAGTCTAAACTTTCTTCCTCAGTTCCTCCTCAGATTAGACTATCACAGTACAATAATTCAATTCATCTCAACTTCTCTCTTTTTGAAATACAATTGGAAAATTAAACTATACCGAATAGTCAATAAAAATAGAGAATAGGGAGAAGTTAGTTATTTTAGTTTAGGTATAACATGTATAATATCACTCTTTTGGGAATAATTTCTTTTGGAGTTGATATTTGTTGAAATTGATAAATCAAAATCAATCGATAAAAATTAATTTGATATATGTTTACTAATTTGTGAAGATTGTCACAGTAAGTTTTATCGAGAGAAATAATGTAGAGAATTGGAATAGAAATGAAGATTTAGGTGATCTGTCAGAGATAATACTATATATATATATATTTAAAAATAGAAACTTGAAATGATAGTTGGTGCAACAGTTTATTCTAACATACAATGTTACTCTTTTGGGAATACTTTCTTTTGGAATTGATATTTGTTGAAATCTTTTTTGTTTTACAGCAATGGACATTAAACGAAGTACAATGGCTGTCAGATAATGTCATTTCAACATTGCATTAATTGCTTACAATTCAATAAACAAGTATCTTTAGGTTTTTTTATATCGAAAATGACAACTCTCTGCCAAGCAGTTTTGTTGTTTCTCTCATTTTAATAAGTTTTACGACAATTCGATTCTATTCAATTTCAAATTCAATATTTTGAAATTTTATTTCAAATTATTCCGAAGTGAAATTTGAAAAAAAAAAACAATGAATTCAATTAGTGATAAAATTCTTTATCAATTATTATCAATTTTTTAATTAGCTCAAATAATTGGTGCCTTTTTTGCTTGTATTTATAATTTAGTAAGAATTGTTTTGATTTTACAATACTTTTTGATATTATCATTAATGTTTATCATTTAATATATAAATAGTGGCTATCAATATTTGTTTATTGCCACCAGACGCCTTATTTTCTCTAATTTTCATAACGATAAAGTTTTCATAGCTTTTTTCCTTGCTACTGCCAACTTAATTAATTAATTATTAGTTATAAATTAATTTTGTGTATTTTAAAGTTTAATTTGTAAAATAATTATTGTCTTTATCGGAATGATAACATATGGATGATATTACTTCACTTTGCCTTTTCTTTTGTGTTGTGTTGCAGAAAATTTTGCATTTGGTGGATTATGACTATGCTTTACTATAACTTTTCCATTACTACGAACAGATATTTTAATCTGAAAAATTTTTTTTTCACTCAAAAGTAATAAATAAAAGTGTTAAATGTTTCATTTGGAATTTAGACTTGATTTGATAAGAATTGAAGCAATTATTATCACATAAAGAGAATGTGCATGTTATGGACGGCCAAGGTAAGAGAATATGCATGTTGTAGACAGCCAAGATAAGAGAATATGCATGTTATAGACGGCCAAGGTAAGAGAATATGCACGTTATAGACAGCCAAGATAAGAGAATATGCATGTTATAGACGGCCAAGATAAGAGAATATGCATGTTATAGACGGCCAAGATAAGAGAATATGCATGTTATAGACGGCCAAGGTAAGAGAATATGCATGTTATAGACGGCCAAGGTAAGAGAATATGCATGTTATAGACGGCCAAGATAAGAGAATATGCATGTTATAGACGGCCAAGGTAAGAGAATATGCATGTTATAGACGGCCAAGGTAAGAGAATATGCATGTTATGGACGGCCAAGATGAAAATTGGCCAAATAACTTTCTTCAATGCAAACTGATTACAAGTAATGGAAAAGTAGGAGATGGATTGATGTAATGATATTTCATTTTAGTTATTACTTGTAAAATGAAATCTTTTCTGTTTGTATAAGTTAACAGTAAATGAATGTTGCTTTTTACTTCTCTCATAACTTTCATCATTAATCAAATGAGAAACAACGAAATGATTTTAACTCAAATGTTGGAAGTTATAGCTAAAAATTTCATACTTATGTCTACGATGATCATTTTCACTTCATTCAACAATAATTACAAATATTATTAACTTATCTTATCATTATTAACTTATCATTATTAATGCTCTAAATGGAAATTCCCCATATAATAATGATTTAAGTATGGAAGCTTTAATTTAACAATTGATTGAATAATTCTTTAACTTCCATTATTTTGAATTATTATTAACATTCATTATGCAATGGAACACTTTTACACATTCCATTGTTAATGCATAAAATAAAAGCAGCAGTGTTATGTATTTGATGATAATAAAATAAAATAATCATTGATAGCTAATAGTGATTAATATCTTATCATTCATTATTTTCTCTCATCGTAACAGAGGAAAAAAAAAGCTATAAAAGTGATTATGATTCATTGATTTCATTATAGTGATATTTCCGCATTCTGATATGATAAACGTTAGCTAAAATTGTTTGTATTTTTAGAATATATTCATTTTGGCGTTAAATTTTTTTTACGTTTTTCCAATTTAATCTTTAATTAAAAAGTTTTAGTGAAGTGAAATGGTGATAGGATGTGAAGTAAATATTGAAGAGATAAAGTTAAGAATTATAGATAAATAATAATTGAAGTGATATATGCTATCACCATTACGTGACCTGTTACGCAACACTGATTTACAATCATTAGTACCAAAATGCGGTGGATGTTCCGAAAATTTTGATGCATTCTTACATATGCCATATATTCTTTCATGTTGTCATACGTTATGCTTAATTTGTCTAACACAGGTAATTTTTTAATGATTATTTTTATGCTAAACATAATTAGCAACTAATTAATCATTCATAGAATTAATTATTTGAAATGATGGTAAAATTATTTGCAAACAAATAATTGTTTACAAATATTACTTTTACAATCAATGTTAAATGATAGGAGTGATAGTAGCAAATTTGATAGTAATTTTAAAAAATGAATGGAATAATTTATAAATTAAACTTTAATTGTTATATCTTCTTTTACCTGTGTTTGCGCGCCTCAAATTTTTGAGAAATAATACTTTAATTAATTAAACATTAAATTGCTTAGCATTTTATCGCACTTCTCATTTGTTCCTCAATTAGCAATCACCGCGAAAGGAACAGACGAAAAAGCGAAGATGTCTGATCTGTCGAGCAAAATATACAAAATATACGATGAATAGCGCTTTACTTTGTAAATTATTCTTTCTTTTTACTTCTTAAGGACTTTTCATTTCAACTTTGACCTCTTCCTTCTTCCTTTGGCAGAAGTGATAATATCGTATCGCATGGATATAGATTGTAATATGTATCACAATGATACTAATAAATTATCGAAGTATTAAAAGTCGATATTCAAATCTTCAAAGGGTATAAACGATATGTTTAGAAAGACATGAACAATAACTGTCACGAAGAATAACAAGAAAGTGTCATTTATATCTGCCAATAGAAATTTTTGCAATATGAAATATGAATATATTTAACAGAAGCATTTTAATTTTTTGCTTAAAAATTTTCTCAAATGAAATTAGAATTAATTATTCCAGCTTTAATTATACAAATCCGAGAGCTAATCATATGCTATCAACGTTCCAGTGCTTTTTGTGAAGAATGCGGGAAACAAACAATTATCATCGATATGCGTCGATGTTGTACCTGTGAAATTAAACTATATAGAATGCTAAAGTATTCTTTGCAGGTTAAAATTTTTTTTAAATATTTAAATAAGCAGGGGAGATCGAATAGACCAAATAAAAGTGATTATTTAACTGATAAAGAATTGCATATCAATTCATGGAAATATTTAATCATTTATGGATTATCGATTGATTATTCTTTATTATGATCTCAGTCCCAATTAGCTAGGTCTAAATCTGGGCCTGTTCAACAATCAACTTCTCTCGAACTTTTCCAGACACGCTGCATTTGTTTGCAATGTTGTGTGGAACATCACAATGGCCATATATTGCAAGAAATCTTTACTACATTGAATAAATCTGAAAATAATACAACGAATAAATCATTCTTACTAACAACGGTAACTGACTATTATTATAGCAATATTAATTATTGTAAATGCGATTACTGTGAAGTTAATATTACTGTAAAGTTAATAACTATGAAGTTAGTTACTGTAAATGTGATTACTATGACAATTAATACTATAAAGTTATATTTGTTCAAGATAATGCATATATTATTATTATTATTATTATTATTATTATTATTATTATTATTTTACACTTATTATTATAATACTATAAAGTTTTGTCTGTTCAAGATAATGCACATATCATTGTTATTACTATTATTTTACATTTTTTGAACAAATTGATTTTATTTACAAATTTAATTTCACAAATGAATTTGCCGTAAAGTTAAAATAGTAAATAGTAATTTATTGAAAAATATAAAATAATAAAATATATATTATTTTGAATAGATATATCGAATAAATTACTTTTTTTTCTGAAGAAATGCATTCATCATAAATTCAAAACGATGTCTATCCATTCGAAACCATCGTCTTCCATATCTTTTACATCCAAAACGTCAGATTCAACATCAACTCAAATCGTACGGTTAGTTTCGTACGGTTAGTCCTACGATTAGTTTTTCGTCAGATTCAACATCAACTCAAACCGTACGGTTAGTTTCGTACGGTTAGTCCTACGATTAGTTTTTCGTCAGATTCAACATCAACTCAAACCGTACGGTTAGTTCAATTGATATATTAGATTTATCGTAAATTAAAACATGTCGCATGTATTTATTTGAAATTCATTTGTAATCTTTTTGTGAATATTTCTGAAATTTTAAATTTAATAACTTCGATATGGTTATGCGATGAATTTATTTAGTATTGGAAGTGGTGATTCATGTGCAGAATACGTAAATATTTCGACGAATGGTGATTCAGAACTTAAATTCCTCTCTGAGGTCAATCATTCTTTTTGGGAAGAAGATCTTATAGTGTAACATCTGCTCTATGATAAGTGTCGTTATCGAAAATTAAGTGAATAGAAAATAGATCCATTAATAACTTTCAGGATATCATAACGGAATTTTATAATGCTGAAAAGGTTAGAAAGGAGTGCAAGACAGGTAAACTATCTATGTGAATATAAGTGAAGCCTAATGATAGAGTAAAGATAACACAAGTGATAAAAATTACAAATCAGGAAAGGTAGTAATGGTAATTCTTCAGTTTCTCATCCTTGTTGAGAATTTTTTCTAATCAAAAATGAATTGCGGTGATAATTTGATAATATATTCCTTCTTTACAGCTTATGACATATATATCAATCTTTGCTATTTTATTTTGCATTAATTAGTATCATTTTAAAACTTTCAGGAATTTCAAAATATGGCCAAAATTTGAAAAAAAAATCGATGAAAAATGACAGCCAATAGAAGAGAAAGTGAAGAAAATTATATGAATAAGAATTTTAATGATATGCAATTTTTAATAATAAGAAATCATTGTAATTACTTCTTTTTTAATTATGAAAGAATTTTGTTTTCTTTTTTTTACGTTGAGAATTAATTATTAAATTATAATATATCGGAGATGGATCATTAACTGATAATTAGTATTAACAAAAATTTGTTTTTAAACATTAACATTAAACTACAAGTATGAATAATTGATTAGGTATTATTTAGAGAATACAAGTAATGAATGTATGTCTCGACAATCTTCAACATAGTATGTATATAAATGGTTAGCAATATAATTATCGATTTGATTTATTATTCTTCCATCATCGTATAATTCCCGGTTACTTCCTTTAATTTGATCTTATGAAATTATATTTCCTTTAAAAATTTTTTGGATTTTTTTTTTGGCAGAATACAGATAGCCAAATTTATTGGAACTCTTCTGCAAGAGATTTTTCATAATTCTCATGATATATTAATGATAGATGAATCATTGAACTAGAATTTCATGATCACATTATCAGTTAGCATATCTAAAATGCAATTCATAAAATGAATGCAAATTAAAAAATAATAGAGAGAAAAAATTAATTGATAAATATAAATGAATTTTAACAATTGATGCTTTAAAAAGCTTAGCAAGATATATTAAACAAAAATTTCAAAATTTAAAAAAAGAAGAATGAATGGAAGCAATTGTTAAGTCTTACATGAAAAGCATAAAAAATTAGTGGTAGTTGAATCGACAGTATTAGGCTGAAGATCATTCCAATCATTTTGATGATTTGGAAAACATTTGAAATTTGGAAAAGCCCAATGAGCACATTTATTGCACAGATCTTTTCCATGCTCATAACCGTGCTTCTTTTTGTTCATCAATTTGTTACCATTTTGATCGTGTAACGTTTTCCTATAATATAAATGTATACAACGTTATGTGAAGTAATCGTTACGTGAGGTAATTACGATTTACATATAAATAAAATATTTACACTGTTGATATGGTAAATTTGAATTAATTCAACAATTCTACAACTAAGTATTTTTTTTTTAATTTGGAACATTGGAATGAACTTAGGGTGTGCAAATATTAGGAATAAGATTACAAATTTAATTTCGATAGTAATTTATTTGTGTATTGCTAAACAAAAAAAACATTTACAAAATGATATTTGAATTCAGAGGTTTGGTGAAATCTATGATCTCTAGAACAGACGAAGGTAAAGTGGTCGATCGTCCAACAAATACCAGCGATTCTTGACTTGTTAATGGCTGATCTATTATTGGAGTGGTATTTTTTGCTATGATATTTCCTGAAAAGAAATTAAGATATGAATTTAAATCTCGTAATAATAATTCGTAAGAGAAATTCTAATTTCTATGAGAGAAAATTTATTCGTTAATCGCTGAATGTCGTAAACTTTCAATCAGTGAAAAATTTGCATCGTGAAAATTTTATAGGCAATTTTCAAGATTGTTTTTTAATTATACGAAATCAGTGTAACATACCAATGGATGTGACCGGATACTTGCCACATGATATGCAATGATCAGCTCTATCAGGTACTTTCCATTGTTGGGAATTTTCCAAATATTTAAAATCATGCATTGTTGATAAATCATTTAGCATTAACCATTCGGTAATACGAGCTCGTAGCTCACTAACAGACATCGAATTTGCTGTTGTCGCATCAACTTTTGGTTTTAGAGTTTGCAAAATTGAGCTCAAATCATCCTTCGAAAGGTCAAATATTGTTGTTGACGATGACCTCAGAGTCATCTGTAGCTATTGAAATTAATTTTTAATACAATCAAATATTCGAAGAAATGATATCGTAAAACAAAAATTAAAGTTAATATTTTACCACAAAATATTTTTCTTCAAATAATTTGATAAAAAAACATTAGCCAATGTTTATGTAAAATTTAATAAATTAAATTTAACTAATTAAAAATATATCCAAAATTTGATATTTTCAACTTAAAACACGTAACACGTAACACGTAATTAACACGTAACTTCTTTCTTTTTTAAATTTTGTCAGTAAGATTTTATTTTTAAATTGAAATTTCAATGAAATGAATAACAATTTCTATCACTCTATCAAAAACTGTCATTTATAACACTCATCCATTTAATTTTTATGAAGCAAATAATTCGGAAAAAAAGGGATTCAGAAATTTTCAATATTTTTGAAATAAGAAATTCTGAAACAAATAAAATTCAATGGCAGCATTAGAAGTAATGATGAAGAATAAACCTGAACCGAAACTTTTCCGTTTTCCTCAATAACCGGGTTGCTATGGTGATTTCAAAACATGTCATATTAACTCGTTTAAATACTATCAAAACAATTCCATAATGGATGAATTATGGATTGAATTATATAATTGAGTTTGAAAAAGTCGGGAAGGTAACAAAACCCGTAAAGAGAAGCAATTTCCAGTTTTTAATGGGATCATTTTCCATAGATGCAGTTTGTTAGTCACATGGATTTGTTTATGCAAGTATAGATATGAGAAAGAAAGGGAGGGAGAGAGAGAAAGAGAGAAAAAGAGGGAGAAATAAAGTATGTGTACATGTTAGGCCAGTGAAAATGAAATGAATTAGGTGAAGTTATATAAAAAATTCAGAAGCCTAATGGATGTCGATGAAAATTGCAGACAAGCAATATTTGCTGCAAATATTCAAATGTTTTCGTTATTTGTAATTAGATGGAAATGGTAATGCCTAAGATTAGGGATTGTTTTATTATTGATATCATATCATATCATATCAAAATAATTAAACATCATCAAGAATTCATTCATTGAACAAATATGAAATCTGTTATCTATTAATTAATTCTTTCATTATTAAACATTGCCGTTTTGTTTTCTTTCTAAGAAATTTAACAAAAGGTTAAAAGGTTAAAATGTGAAACAATAGAATGAAAAGTTAAAATTGAAAAATTAGAGTTATGCTATTTTCGGATTTATCGCAAAGAATCTAATATCGAAATAAAATTAAAAATCTTTTTGCCTGTTTGTCTGTCTGTCTGTTTGTCTGTCTGTTGAATAGGAAAATTTTTAAAATGGAGAATTTCATTAAATTTCCAATAATTATTCTTTTGTATGCAGTATAACGGTCATCCTATCCCATTTCAGATGAATAAGGCCAAATGAGAATGAATAAGAGATGAAGAAGATAAAGTACAAAAGGTTAGGTAGGCTAGGACTGATTGAGAGAGGCCTATCGCTTCCTTTTGGGGTCAGAGATGGTGTTGATAAACCTCGTAAAGTAATCATTTCTCTTTCTTCACTCATTCCTGTCATAGGCTGGCCGGATAGATGGATAGAATTCCTCCTCCTCCTCCTTCTCCTGCCAGGCCACTAATCAAACAACGAGGATTCAAACACATACATACACACACATATATGCACACACACACACACACACACATACACACACACACATACATACACATATACAGACACGGAGAAAAGCGCGTACAGACACAGATAGACCATACACACATATGTATATATACTTTTCAAAATGACACATCGATCGGTCTGTTTTGTGTCCACTTCTTGCTCATGCAATTTGTGTGTATGTTATTGAAATGAAATTGGCATGATATGAACGATCAGTATTGTAGATGGATGAAAGAATAGACGCATAAAAGAAGAACACTTTTTAAGGGCCTTTTTTTGCAAAGGTCATTTTAGGAACTTCTTTTATAAAAGGTTATTTTTTTCTTGATAATAATGTAACTAAAAAATGCAACAAAAAATAATAGCTTTGCAAATAATAAAAGTACGCCACTTTATTCGAAGTAGTTAATAGAGATGGATAAAAGATTTTAATGAAACATCGAAATTTAATTAAAAACTTCCAAAATGGGCCTTAGTTGGTTCATTGGAAAAAGGCTAATAAGAGGAATGAAAGGGAAGGAAGAGATTGGCCTAAAACATATTTATTATAATAGAAGAAAAGTTAGAAAGGATTGTCTTTTTTTCTTCGCACTCTCTTTTATTCATGCATAATCTATTAATCACTAATGTAATCCAGGCATTTAATTTTTAATTTTTTAAACATTTTTGAATTTTTAAATTCTGGGCAATATATTAATGGTAAGCCTTAAAGAATAAATAATTAAGAGAGGGAGCGTCATGAAAATATTATACTTCTCAAGGGCCTTTGTTTTAGGAAGGTTATTTCTCATTTGAATTTAAAAAATTTTTCATTTTACTCAATGAATGCAATTTGATCAATGGTAGAATGAACGAAAATTTCCTAAGATTACTATATAATAACATAAAATAGAACAATTAGAGAAGTAAAGTAATAAATTTAGTTGTAAAAAAATGGCAAACATTAATTTGAATAAAACAAAAGAATGGATTGATGATGAGTATATACTGCTGCAACGAAATATATTCAAATTAATGCAAAATCTATTGAGTGTAAAATGCTTCTTAAATATTATCGTTGATTTCAATGGGACTTTTTTGTTTAGTTTTTTTGGACTAAATAAGGGAATAATTTATCTTTCAAATGTTTCTTTGCAAGCTATCTCTATTAGTGTTATTGAGTGTAGAGAGAGAGAGAGAGAGAGAGAGAGAGAGGGAAAGATATTCAAATATAACAGCCTCTAAGTTGTAAGGAACTTTTTTTATATTGATCGATGTAAGAATTTGATCAGTTTAGAAAATTCATTTTCCTGCGAACCATTTCCAAGCTTTCAAAAATTGCTATTCTTCAGCTAAAAATTCTGTACAAAAAAGTTCTCATTGAGGAGACATGAAATACCCTGTCCAAGAGTACATAATTGTCCAGATATGTAAACTGAGGCTTGATAATAATTAGCCATTCATTTCTTATAAAATCTTGCAATCTCAATAAAAGCATGATCTGAACTTCATTGAAATCTTACTTCAATTTTTGAAGTTCACCCAAATGCTCACAAAACTATTTCTCTTTCTTTGCTGAAGAAGTTATGTAATATGTAATATTTATATGATATATGAATCAGAAAAATGAAGCACAAACTCCAGAATTTGGAGTACAATAGATTGATATTACACTGATTGGTTTATTTCAAGTGAAAAGATGGTTCCCTTATCATTTCTTCTTAAATGCTCATAATTCAATAATCTTTCAAAATACACGATGAGAGGATGTAAGGCAGTAATTTTTCGCATTAATTATAAATACTAAAAACAACGTGCACAAACATCATCGCGCAAAAATGCACATAAAATTCCTTTTAATTCTTTTAATGGAGTAAAAAATTAATATCAATCAAACTAAAATGTCGTTGTACTGACTACGTTTTACACCTTATGATTATCTAACGATCACACTCTTCCCAACTCTCTGTTCAGCTTTGCTTTGTTTTCCATTGCATAGTTTCCAGAATATTTGAAGATGGAAAGTGATAAAACTATTATTAATATCCATACAGAAGAACCAGTGAAAGGCAAAATATGATGTCATAATGACAAAATAATCATTTAAAAACAGTTGATTCACAATGAAATACAATGATTAGAAACCGAGTCTTGCACAATAGTTCTTAATTAGCATCATCTTTGTCTTTCGTACCGTGTTTAAGCATTCGGGTGAATTCGACATAATCAAACATACCGTTTCTGATCGGTGCATCGCGAAATAGTTCATCCACCTATAATCTTACTCTTGGAGGAAATTATAGCAGAATAACATAAAGTAAGTAAATGAAATTTCTAGTCATCAAACAATATTCATTAAAAGAACGATGTATTTTGGACGATAAAATACATAGTGATACGGTTTTTGTTCTAAATACTGCTTGACTAATTCCTATTATAGTAAGCACTGAATGTAATTAATCATACACAAGTTATTTTCCAAAATAGTTTTCCTGCTAAACGTCCTACTGAAATTGCTATGGATGTAGAAAAGGAAAAGAAAGAACCTCGGAATACGTAACATGCACCTAAGATCACTAGAATATGAAAGAAGACTTGACGTCTCAAAATATATGACCTTCAACAAATGGTAGTTAACAGTTAGGGATATATTATTCACCCGCAACTTTTGCGAAATCTTAAGTATTCAAATAGAACTTGAGAATTACTTGCTCATCAGTATAGCGATCACCCATTGTAGTTAGCAATTCCCGAAGACGATCTTCGTTCAGAAAACCACTGTTATCAACATCAAAACATTGAAATGCGTTTTTGATCACCTAAACAGAAATTATTCCGGTAACCAATACCGTTATTTTTTAAAGAGCGAATTGGATTTAAATATATTGTGTTGTGAATGCATTTTAACCGAAGTAGTATTGCACAGTAAATGAAAATATGCCAACTCATATATTAATATATGATGAATAATCACAAATAATTTTATGAATTACAACCTCTTCTGGATCCGTTCCAGTCAATTTCTCGCCAAATAATGTAAGGAACATAGTAAAATTGATTGGCCCTGGTGCTTCACTGATCATTTTTTCCAAAAATTCCTCATTTACTTCTTTTCCTACAAATAAACTTTTTACTTGCCAAATAATGCTTACAGCACTATGTATTATGGGAATTTCATGCAAATATATGCTTAATGGTACAAACCTAATGATGCAAACATATCCTGCAAATCTTGGACATCTATGAAACCATCACGATTTTGATCGATCATATTAAAAGCCTCTTTAAATTCCTAAAATTTTGTGAATTAAAATCTAATTTCACAGCCGAATGCATAAAACTTCAACGAAGTAATAACGTTAGAAAGATATCGAGTGCTAGGAACTGATTCAATCTTTGGTGAACTATGAGTATAAAAATATATTAAGGTTATGTAAATGTCAAAAAAATAATAGACTGTTAAATAATAAAAATGTCAAAAAATAAAAATAGTAAAACTGTACGAGTGGAATTCGAACAAAAGAAAATAAAAGGAATAAACCGATGGCCAACAAAGTATACTATTATTTTATGTAAGTGTACAAGTCAGTTCCTAATAGATTATAATCTGTTGATCTTAATCGACATAACCATAAGCGAGCAACGACCTGTATTTGAGCTTGATCGAACATTGCAAAGACATTGCTGGTTGCTCGTTGAGGACGAGGCCGTCGATTCAGTGTCTTCCTGGATGCCATCAGAGGTGTAAAGTGACAGCTGACTGTAATAGCATGAAATACATGATTTGAAAAAACCTTAGTGAGGTAAAGAGACTAAGAATATTACGATGTCAAAGAGTTCACAGCGTGAAAAGAGGAATTTGTAGGAGAAGTACCGCACTAACAATACAGAATTCCAGAACTACTAACGATATCCATTTCATTATATTTGATGTCGTAATAACTTAACGAAGCATTCAATAAGAAATCTCGACCGAAAATAAAATTTTGACAAATCATGTTTCAATGAAAGTGAATTGTGTCCGCCCAGTGTGAAATACGGAAGTCCCATGTTAATAAGATGGACGTTAGGCTACTGTCAGTCACATGGGACTGTAATGAGACAGGCCCAGAAAGCCTATTTAAAATATATAGCGGAGAAATAAGAAAGAAATTCCGTGACATGTCAAGTAAGATTGAAGTTTTGTAGTTTATGTGACTTTTATGGATTGGAAAAGCCGGGAAAATGCTGATAGGTAGCTGAAGATTAGGCAAACTGATAATGATAATTATTTATTAATCTATAAATAGCCTTACCGTTTCATAACTAATTAAACCATAAAGCGATCAATAATTGATAATATACAGCTTAACCTTATTAAGGTCTTCCTTTGAGAGTGTTACGATTTGTTTTTTTTTGAACGGTGATATGCAAACCTTCAATAGGAACAAACTGATGATAATAGTATCAAATTTATAAATGAAAAATAAAACTAATCAATAAATATTAGATATCATTTCAGAAATCGTTTATTCTAACATTTGTGCCATAATCTCTTATTGCTATATTGTTAGAAGAATTTTATTGATTAGAATGAATAAATAAATGTTTAGTAAATAAAGACCCAGGAAAGATAAGGTTTAAAAGAAGGGAAATAAATGATGAAAAGAAGTATATTGTTTATCATATTTCATTGATAAACTATCCCTTTAACAAAAAATCTTAACATTTTCGCTATGAATTATTTAAGAGTTAATTGGTTAAAAGAATAAAAAAACAATATGAAATGAATGAGAAGAAAGTAAAGGAAGATGACGATAGATGTCAGCTGTTCACAAGCAATTGTTTTTAATTTCATTTAACACCTGCTCTTTAAGTTATATCATCTTGTAAAATTATTTATTTGATTTTCAATTGATTTGTTAAAATTTCAATTTCATTGTCTAATTTATGAAACAAAGTGTAGTTGATATATTAGTCTAGGTTTTTCTTCTTCTTCTGTGTGAAATAAAATGGAAGTTTGTAAAATTTTGAGGTCATAATTCGAGGTCATACCTTGAGAACTATATATTGAGGATCATTTAATTCTTAAAAAAAATTAGCCTAACAAAGTTGGCAGTGTTTTCAACTAATCAAAAATCATTTTCAAAATATCAAATAGCTTAAAATTAAACTTTTTAAAACATATTCAAGATTATTTTAGGAAATTATCATAAGTGATTATTTATTATGATCATGAAATTTTTCCTCGGTGTCATTTTCTGCATCTCCAAAATTGCATTGGAACTTCATGCTATCCCAGCACATCATCATCACCGTACTGCTAAAACCGAGAATGCTGATCAAGATAAGTTTTCCTGGGTGTCATTAATTTAAGGGATAAATTTTTTGTTGAAATGATAAGCTTATAAAAGATAAAAACTAATGCTTCTGTTAGACTTCACTGCAAAATATTTAAGTTGAAAAAAATCAATTGATAATTTCAACAATCCTTCTTCTTACACAAGCTCGAGTAAAGTTTCATCATACAGTATACTTTTGCAGATTCCATACAAAACGAATTGAAAACATTCTACAGTAACCTGAATGATGAAGAAAAAATTCAATTGATTAAATTAGCCCAAACAAGTGCTGAAAAGTTCTCACTTACAGATAATGAATTTTTGGACAGTCTAAAGGTAAAAATTAGCATTTTTTCACGATAATATTTTTTGTCAAATAATTTTGAAAGAATCAAAATTAGCTTATTCTCGAATATTTGATAGTATTTCTATTTTTCCAAGATTAAATTATATAAGCATAAATTGTTAAGCATGAAGAGATGATGGAAACATATGCATGAAACACTTCATCTGATTGCCATCTCTGCAAATTAAATTAATATTTCAGAATGAAGCAGGAGGACTTTTCGGCAAGCTAACTGGTCTGAAAGATTTAATCAATGAAAAATTGAATACTATGCAACCGGAAAGTCGGCTCTTCATTGAAAACGTGACTTTTTCTTTTTTCTGAAATTCTAATATAAAATTTTTAAATTTTAAAATTTAGGAAATTAAATAATTTAAATTTTATATTAAAAAAAATTTCAGCTACTGCGACGATTTTTGGCAATTTTTAGTCAGGATAGTTTAACGAATATTTTGAAAGCATTGAAAGATTTTGGAAAAGAGATTATTGAGATGTTTGATGGATTATCAAAACCAATTCAAGATGATATTCGTAAAGCTTTTCCAACACTTGGAACACTTGCTTCAAGTAATATTTCCATTTATCTCTCTCTCTCTCTCTCCCTTTCTTTCATACTGTATCATTAACATATATTTCGTGATAATTATCAATAATCAATAATTATCATTTTCAGATGATATTGTTCGTTTCATATTACAAAAATTGGCTGAATTAAATTTATTCTCGACTTTCGATTTGATTACTGATCAAACAAACAAAGATTCGGGAAAATTATATCCCAGTTCACAAATAACTGATGGAAAGGATGAATTATCACCAACCCAAGGACGTTCATTAGTAGATGATGAAGAAGTATCAGTGAAGAAAGTTATTGTCGTCAAATAAACATTTTCATTCTTTATTTTCTAAAATGTTCCTTTTTTTTTGCTGAACGCTGTCAATATGATCATTAATGAAATCATTAATGGAATTAATGTAATAAATGAAAGAAAATACTATTTTAATTTTAACAGAAATTATTTGTATTATTTATTATCGAAATACAATTTGGTATAAAAGAAATTAATTAGAATTATTAAGTATTTTTTAAGAGTATTTATAGTTAGTTCTATTAGGTTAGTATTAATTATTTATAATAAAATATGATATTACTTTTCAACTTATCTTTTATTAATTTTAATTTTCATACATGATTTACAGTTGCAGCATAAAAGATGAAATAAAAGAAGTTATGAGTAGCATTTGAATATTTGATAATTAAAAATTGAAAAGAGAAGAGTTTGAATATTTTGTTAAAATTAGATAATTATTATTCATAGTTGCAATAATAGCTTAATGATCATCCATTCTAAATTTACAAATTATTCTTACGCTTAGTTTTATTTCTCATCGATCGATTAATTTTTAAATTATAGCTGCTCATAATTTTAACTAAAGTATATTAAAAAGGAACAATAGCCATTCATATATCACCATTTAGAAATGAGCTGTTCGGCATCAACAAAACTAAAACTTTTAAAAGCCACATTTGAGTAGCGGCTAGTTCAAAAGTAAATGTTTCAGCTAGGCATTCAGAGTAAAATGGGAATTCGTGTTCTTGAATAGAAAAAAAAGAAATCCACAACAATTTTGGGATTTCAGTTCAAAGAAAGCCACCAAAAGAAACATCCGTTCATCTCTCTCTCTCTCTCTCTCTCTCTCTCTCTTTCCCTCTCTCTCCCTTTCTCTCCGATTCATCAGCCTCCAAACTATTGCTATCATTTTTCCCATTACGTTGATAGTTGCCTTTTTCGAATTTAATAAATTCTATCGAATCTTATCGAAATTCTGCAGAAGCTTCTTTCCTGCTTAATTTTGACGGAATGTTGCGCTATCATTGCATGGTATCAATGATACTGTTGAGCTGTATGAAATTATCAGCATCTGCACCAGCTGGTAAATCAGCTTCCAATCGAACCGATATTACATCTTTGGCCATTGAATCACTGGGTTAGATTTATGAGATTATTTTCTGAAGTATTTAACTGAATAAGTCCAATTTTTGGATTTCTTGACTTTAGTTTTCGTATCAGTAATCTTTTTTAAAGTTAATTTTCACAAAGTTCGATCTAGAAATTCACCAACCTGTATTTGTGGTTTATATCACAGTGGGATGGAATTTATTTCCGGAATCCTCAAGCAAGTCAAAAATACTCTGGTGATGCCGCTGACAGACAAACTAATACACAGATTAAAAAAAACGGAATGCTTCTGTAACACTGAAGTATCTTCGGTATCTTCGATGATACCATTATAGTTCAGTGTCATTATTGGCATCATCAAAGATAATGGAGTATATATGCCTTAATTTTGATGAGAAAGAAATTGCGCAAATTTCAGAATTTATTCCATCCAGTTTGTTAACATTTTTCGGCGATCTGAATGATACGGATCGAAGTGCGCTTTTAGAACTAACCAAAAACATTTCACGAAGCCGTTTAACAGCTGATACTGAAAAGGAATTCCTGGAAGGCCTGAAAGTTGGTTTTTTCTTAGTTTCTCTAAACAATTACATATCTCTTCATTTTTATTTCTCTATTTATTTGTTCATTAACTCCTATCATATTGCAAATATTTTTTTCAACAACTTTATTCTGTTGCAGAAAAAAAGCGAGAATGCTTATCAGAAAGTAATGGTTGTACAAAACTATTTGTCACACAAAATTGAATGTTTAAAGCCAGAGAGCAAAAGTTTTACTAAAAAAGTTAGTTCTTATTTTTATGATTAGCCTAAAAGTTGCCGATAGGAACTTTTGTTTCTGATCGTTTGCAAAAATGTGTATGCACGATGTGCAAATTATGAAATGCAATATAATGTTCAATGTAATAATATTTTTATTTCAGGTTAGTGATAAGTATATTGCATTATTTACAAATCCACAAACAGCGCCAAAAGGAACATTCATGAAAATGAAATCATTCATTAATGAAACATTTAAAATATATGATCAGTTAAGTGAAACAGCAAAAAATGACCTGAAAGAAGCATTTCCGGAAATAGCCCAATTGATTAAAAGTATATTCTTATCAATTCCGTTCGTAGGAAGAAATTGTTAACAATATTTGATAGTTAAAAATTACTGAGGTAACGATTCATTATTTAGCTAATAAATGAATTAATTTCCAATTTTGAAAAAAAAGGAACTACGTTACTTTTTTAGATCCACGATTTCGAGATTACGTAAAACGTGTCTTCGATAGCACTGACGTGAAAAGAGCATTCAATCGAGCAGATAGAATGATCAATCCAAAACAATAATTTACAATACGTCCAATTGATATGTTTGTTTTTCGTATTTCTTTTTTGTCTCTTTTTTTTTCGAGTTCATTGGATGAAATTTTTTATATAAAATGAATTTACCCATTTGAGGGAATCGATATGCTAATTAGATTATTATTCATTATAGATTTGTTTCGGGTAGAATCATCAATTCTGCGAATCGGGAAGTGCGTATTAAATTTTTTCATATTCAATTTTTATTTGGTTTTTATTTTTTGATTTATTTGGTAATTTTTGTTTAGCAATAAGATGAAATTTTGCAAGAGAAAAACTTCATTTATCTTATCCTTTTATTGTTTTTACTGTATGAGAAATTATTTGTGACCTGAAAATTGTGATGAATAATTTAGCATTAATTTAGCGCATTTACCTTTATCTTTACCTTTAGTTTATCTTTAGTTTGGATTCATTTATTTGTTGATATTTCCATTTCAATTTCATCCTGCAATAATAATTTTATTATTTCCCTAATAAATGAATGTTTTTTCTTTTCCAATATATTTTCAAGCTTTTTCAATTCTTACTTTTTGATTTAATGATTACATGAAATGAAAAATCATCGTATCAGTATGAAAATTGAAACCCAACATATTCAGTGAGATGAAAACTTTTCTTACATCTCATAAATATCACAAATGGATAAAAAGAGAACGTAGTTGATAAGCTGAGAACAAATAAACGAATATAGAATTGAAGATCAAGTAAAATAATCAAGAATGCATAATCATTTAAAAATTCTAGAATGAACAATATATGGATAAAGAAGATAATGTTATCAATGATTTTTATACCTATCATTTGTGTTCGTATGATTTGTTGCTGACAGCTGACAGATACAAGTGAATACAAAACGTACATATAAAGCTTTCTTTTTCTTATTATTTCATATTTCCATTTTCCTAAATTTTAGTTTTATAATTTAAATAATACAAATTCTCATTATTACTATTATTAAAAGATATTAGCCTATTTAATTTTGGAATGAATCGATATAAGCCTGAATTTGAGCCAAGTTTTATCCCTCCTCTTTAAATTTTTTATCGAAGTATTTAATCTACAAAATAATACTGGCAATAAATATTATTCGTCAAGAAATTTGTCCGTATCTTGTAGTGGAAAATAACGGAATTGATTGGCATTTCGCTACCGAATACATTTAGTTGATTGAAATGAACTACTTTTTGGCCTTTAATCATTTTATGGAAAAATGGAAAAATTATAAAATGATTGCAAATTTAAAAAATTTTCCGAGACGAGGAATTTTTTTTAAATTACTGACACCTGAATAAGATATTAAATGAGTTAATTTGGAGAAATGAAAATTGTTGAACAGAGTTCGAATGTTAATATGACAACCTTTATAACTAAGCACAAGCAAAAAATCTCCTATTTCACTTGCTTCTGAATAATCCTTAATCAAATATTATTACATGTAATTCGAAGATCATTTAATTATCTTCATTTGGAAGATGAAATTTCCAAATTCAAATCCAACGAAAGCAAAGAATGCGGCGATCTGAACATCCTTTCATATAGCCACTTGTAAATATGATATAATATGCCTTAATCATTTCACTGCTAAATTTCAATTCAATTAAATTAACATATTGCTGAAAGCTATATGCGAGAAAAATATTAGCCTTAAATGATAAAGATAACCAAAGATCTTAGATAAGATTGGAAACATATCAACTGAAAGCCAGGACAGTCCCTGCGATTCAATTAAATTTATAAGTTCGTAATTTTTTAATTAATGAATGGTTTTGTCATCATGGTAATACAATTCTTCGCTTCTTTAAAAAATGATTGTTTAATGCTTTGTCCATTTTCATAGATGAATATTTTGAAGTATAGCAATCTCACACCTTATCAATTAAGTTTTTTCCCGAGATCTAAAAAATTTGGTGAGAAATTTCCCCATTATACCAATAATTCTCAAAGGGAAATATTATATGTGGTTACTCTTCTTTATTATTCCATTAACCCAAAAATTTTTCGACACCTTTTCAACAATCGCAAACTTCAACTTATAAAGTCTAAAATTTTATGGCCTTCCCATATTTTAAATGACAGATTCACACTAAAATATAATACAAACATATCATAACTGCCCAACTGTTCATTTTTGATCACTTTCACTTCTAATACTTATCGTTTCCCGCAGTTACGCATCCCTATTGCCCACCCGCACCTTACGCATCCCTGTTGCTCACCCGCACCATTCCATCGGTAACGCTGTTCACAAGAGAAATTAACTTTGCTAATCAATAATCTTATTTAATTATCAAATTTGTCATATTTTGTTTAAATTTATTTCAACTTATTTATCATTCTATTCAATTTTAAACATTATTGATAATATTTAATCCGCCCACATTCTTATTCATACCGTTTTATGTTTTTTATTGCTACTTTTAAGATAATCGATAAAATCTAAGCATCATAATGACAGATGAAAATTGTTTACAACTTCCGTAACGGGAGAACATTTTGACGAAGTCTGTGCTACCACCTAATAACGAATTTGATCTTCCCACTTCGTTGCTGGCGGCAAATTTTAGAAATG